GCCTTTCCTGTATATGTTATTAATATGACCTTTCCAATCAAGTTTCCTGTCAAGTGTCACACCAAGGAATTTGATTGAATCCACTAACTTTAATTCTATGCCCTGAAATTTAGGGTTTTTAAAATTACCTAATGTTCTTCTCCTGCTAAACATTATCAATTCTAGTTTAGCAGGATTAATTGATAAACCACTACACTTAGACGAACTGAACCGAAAAACCCCGCTTCACGGAATCAGTGTTGCCCACACTGTTGCCAAAACAAGGGATGTGGTTGAAAAACAGTGTCGTCTGTTAGGTTAATTAAATAACTATATAAAATTGTTTTGCAAGTTCAATGCGTCTAACCTGCGAGTTTTCATTGATACTAGGTCGAAAAATATTGGACACGTATCCGAGCGTTCTTTTCAATCGGTTCTAGTAGTCTAGTTAATCATTTTTTTTATGTTTTTCTTTGATGGGCACGTATTTCAAGATGTATTTTTTTCATTTATTTAATATTTATCAGTCCATTTTGTCTGTTTACTAAGGTTAAGGAAGAAAGGTTACACAAATGAAAAGACGCTTCTTCAATTAGCTGTAAGCTATATTATTTTTATAATTCTTATCAACGAATTTGTTATATCAGTTTTATGGTTTATATAAAAGACGGTTCTTTCTTTTTCACTGTGCGAGTCGATTCAATCTCTATTACAGGATAATAGGGTGGAAGAAAGACAATCACTAAACACCGGGCAATCAAATCAATTAAACTAACGTCCGCATCATGTCGCTTTTTACGACAGCACCGTCGAATTTTCACTGACAATTAAGATTTCCCTTTTGTCTTTCTTTCCTAACCCAAAAAGTCTTAATCGTAATCTGTATAACGGCTAATAGTTCAAACTAAGACGGAGGGGAATAATTGCTTTCGCAATCAAGGACGAGAAAAGGAGTAATTGAGGGCCCAAAAACTAGACTAGCAGGAGGAAAGAGACTTTTTCCGGACAAGTTGTAAGTTCGCGTATGTATAACCCAGCCTGGATTTACATGCCGGCTTTAATGGATATTATATGTCCTTCTAAAATTTTAATCCACTGACCTTGTTCCGATGCCCTTGAATGTTCACGGTGGTCAACAACTCTTTAGAGAGAAAGCAAACAATGGTAGCTTCTCATCCAAATGAGTGCATATGCTTAGTTTAATAACAAACAAGAAGCAAAGAAAGAAAGGACGTTTTTTATTATTTTATATCGCAAAGCATTAACGTGTAGTTGATATGTCATCTTCATTTTATAATTATTATTGCAAACTTATGTCCCCAGGCGTTCGTCTTTTTTTCCGAAACCTTTAAGAGAAAGGGTTGAAAAACTGCCAAATTGGCTGCGGAGCTGTGAATGGCTGGCAAAGGCCTTTCAGACGAAACGTGAAATAAATAAATGTAAAAAACACGCTGTTGGGGTTCAAGAAATCACTCAAATTAAATAGAATAAACACAAAAAAAAGAAACAGACAGTATGCAGTTTTATTGTTTATTTTTACGTTACTCATGATCCAAGCAGTACTTTTATATTTCGTTATGGTAATTTCTATTCCTTCTTCGTCCCTTAAACAGGCAAGGTCGTCCCATCCGTGCAATGTCCGATTCTACTGCAAATACAGAGCTCAATAGAGTTGAGTGAAAGCCACTTGTTTACAAGAGGAGTTCGTCTGGTCAGAACTAGTCCAAGGTTCAACATATTTAGTTTTAAATAGCAGATACATTTTTTACACATTTGTCCAAAACAATTTTTTGACATTTCTTAATCTTCGGTTGTTAGGATAGGATGATATGGATACGGGAACATGGGGTGCTTAAAACAAATAAGAATTATTTGTTGTTTTATTTTTTCAGAATCAAATAGTTTAACCTAAACCCAACCTGTCTAATATAGTCTAAACTAACCTTAACAGTACTTAAAACCCTAACCTGTCAACCTAATCCTAACATTTCCTAACCTAACACTAACTCATTCCTAAATATAATTCTACCTAACCTAACCTGTCCCTAACCTTAACCAACCCATGCGAAATCACAGCCGATACCTGACATCGATGACACAAAAATGGCCACGCAAAAATAACTGTATACCCAATAACATTATAACCCAATAGCCCAATAACATATCCATGTTAAAATGAGATTAAAGAATTTTTTCTTATGTTCAGTTTTATACCAAAGAGACTTTTTTGTTTATTTTCATTATTTTTTGAAAGAAGTTACGAAATCTTAATGACTGATTTTCACCGTTGGTAACTGATAAATCAAATTTTTAGCAATTAACATTAATTTTTCATTGTCGATAAGTGACCTTGAGAAATTAAATACATTAAAGGGGCACTTTTATGTAAGTAACTCTAAATTAACCCTTACCCTACCTCACCCGAACAGTACCTAACATAACCTAACACTTCCCCCCAACGTCACCTAACCATAACCCTAGCTCTACTCCCAATTTGTCAAGTAGGATAACCTATTGAAATATTGACGTCTCTTCACGGGACCCTGTCTATTTTAGTAATTATGTTTAAAACTTTTAAACAAAGCTTGTTCTCCAAATTAAATTATTTATAAAAAATTTAAAAAATATTGACCCTCCCAACCTATCAACCCTAACCTTACCTAACGCGAACAGTACGAAACTCATCATACCATTACCTAACCTCTCCCAACTCTAACCCTAACTCTACCTAACCTACCAACCCTAACCCTACCTCACCCTAACAGTACATTACCTAACACTACCTAACTTCGCCTAACCTAACACTAACTCAACCCTAACCTAACCCTACTTAACCTAATCTGTCCCTAACCTAACCCAACACGTACGAATTCATCGAACCATGAAATCGACGACACAAAATTGCCAGTGTATATCAAATACAGTAAACCATCGATGTAAAACCGAAATTAAAGAATTCTTTCTTATGTTCATTCTAATACCCAAGAGTCCTTTTTGTTCACTTTGTATTACTTCCATTATTTTGAATATAAGTTTCAAAATCTAAATGACTAATTTTTGTAGCTGAAAAAATCAAATTTTTAGCAATTAAACTATAATTTTGCATTAACGTTTGAAAAATCACTTACGTGTGTTTACAGCTTATGACTAGAGGCAGTTTTTCTGTAAGTGCCATAACTATCAGTACTTACAGAATCAAGAAAATGTTACTTAAACTTTTGACAAGAACTTTGGAAAAACGTAAAGATTTATCTTCTAACAGATTTTGTATTTTGTTTGCCTAAGGTTACAATAAAAAAAATCTCATTGAGTTTTCAATGACTTTTTCATTGGTGTAATCAAATTTACAATAAGTGTCTCGTAGATTTTATGAGGGACGCGGGACTTTTGGAATGAAGTAACTCAAAACCTGAAATTCCCCCGAATACAATGATTGGCTTTCGACAAAAGAGGTTTTTGAACCCAATTTGTCATGTAGGATAACCTCTTAAAGAATTGACGTCAGTTCACGGGACACCTTGTACGTTTTAATCGAGTTAACAAAATCAGGGCAGCATCAGAAATGTTACAATGTTACAATGTTCACAAAAAAGTGTACGAAATGCTTTGCATTTTAAAGTTAAATTTATACAATAAATTTCTGTTTCAGAAAGGACCAAGTGCCGAGGTGCCTGGCCACACTTCCACACGTTTTGGACGTCGAATATATTTTAAGTCATAGCCCAAATGGTATCTGAATATGAGCCCGTTTCTAAAAGTGATGCAGTTGTTTCTACTCATGACAGCCACCGTTCTTGGCATGCTAATGCTTCTTCTCATTACCCCAGATCTAGAAGACTCGATCTTGGCCGCCATGAGGCGTTATCACCATAGCAAACAGTTAAGAATTTCTAAAAAAAAATTTTTTATTACATTAGTTAAAAGGTGTGTACTAGGGTTTCTGGTGGTGGCACAAATTACTGTTTTGAGGTTGTGGTTTGTGAGTGTTATTTCTGCCGATAAAAATCCTCTTTGCTAAAATCTGCACTAGATATATCTAAAAGAATCGCTTGGAAAAAAATAAAAATAAATCGGTCAATTAGATAAACTTTAAGTATTTATTTAGAAATCGTGAGTTGCGGTCTGGTGTGATGTAGGTTTCAGAAAAACAGTGGGCACTCTCGACACGACATGCAAGAATGGCACAATTACACAGAAGACAAACACTTTGAGCCCTGAAGATGATCTCAATAAAGATTGAAACGTTGGCACGATAAAGAAAATGTTTTTCTGAAACCTATCACACCAGACCGCATCTCACGATTTCTAAATAAATATCCATGAACGGTCACTAATCACCACACATAAACTTTAGGTTTTATGAACGTCAGGTTAAAATAATAGCAAATAAATTATCTTCTGACATAGAAACAATTCAAAAGGTTGTTCTTTATAGTTATCGGTCTTCAGGGAGGATTTACTTTTTCACGGATAGGTTTCAAGTACATCGGATCACGCCCTTAATGATCAGAACAACTTCTCGCTCGGTAAATGGATTAAAAATATCCTGTTGGAGGTGGAGAAGAATTTATTCTTTAGAAATCTTCCGTTATCTCCATTCTCCTGTTTAGACATATCCACTATTTCTCCTGAACCTTTAAAACCTTTAAGGCGGTAGTAATTTTGACATTCTGATTACCTCAGCTAATAGGATCTTAACCGCATTTTTCGATAGGTTAATGTCGAGACGTCCATTAACCCTTGCCAGCTACGGACCAAAAAATGGGCCTATATTGTTTTTTTTTTTTTTTTTTTGTTATGGTGTCTGGTAAACTATTGTGCAATTTCATTTATTTTCGATAATCGAAACAAGAAATTCAACTGGCTTACTTTGATATTTAACCGTTACCGAATTGACTATAACAGTTTACAAAATAATCGAGGAATTTCACCCATACAGATTTGTTTTCTTTAATATACAAAAAAAATATATTTCCCTAGACTGAAAGTGTTTATAATGAAATGCAGGATTGTAAAAAATGCCGTTTCTGGACTTATTTCAAGCTTTTCGTAAAACCGTCCTAGTGCGTACTTCTTTCCTCATATCTCTCAGAGATTATTCCGACGAATACTGCAAACATTTAAGCGGGGAACACACTTACCCGATGCAACGCTATGCGACCCTACCCGATGCTACCCGACGCAAATCCAAAGTTTAATTTTCCGTAAGATTATATTACCCCTGTGCACATCTGCCCGATGCTACGCTACGCCATCCCTACTGCACAGATTTTCGTCGCGTAGCATCGAGTACAGTCGAAGACAAAAGAACCAGACACTCGTATTTTTATTCAAACTAATGAATTATTGTCGTTATATTAATTACAACATACTTATTTAATATAAACCAAATTAACCGAGATCAAAAATTCATTAGTTTTTATTTAAAAAAAATTAATTTTAATGGTTTGGGAGAAAATTAATCAAAACACCGGAATACCATTGTTTGATATAATGAATTTAACTAACAATTTATTACACGGTTTTGCTCATAAAATTACGCCATTTTCGTCGAGTAGCGTCAGAACAGGACACTCATATTTTTTTTGTATTTTATTTCAAACTAAGTATATGTAATTTGGTCATTATATTAATTACAACATTCTTATTTTAATGTAAGCCAAATTAAACCGGATCAAAAATTCATGAGTTTTTATAAAAATTATTTAATTATGATGGTTAGGAAGAAAATTAATCAAAACACCGGAATAACTTTATTTAAAACAATTAAATTTAACAAACACTTTATTACATGGTCGTGCTCATAAAATTTAACTAACAATTTATTTCATGGTTTTCCTCATAAAATTACACCATTTTCGTCGAGTAGCATCAGAACAGGACACTCATATCTTTTATGTGTTTTATTTCAAACTAAGTATATGTAATTTTGTCGTTACATTAATTACAACATTCTTATTATAATGTAAGACACTTGTAATTTTTTTTGTATTTTATTTCAAAGTAAGTAATTAAACCAGATCAAAAATTCATGAGTTTTTATAAAAATTATTTAATTATGATGGTTAGGAAGAAAATTGATCAAAACACCGGAATAACTTTATTTAAAACAATTAAATTTAACAAACACTTTATTACAAGGTCGTGCTCATAAAATTTAACTAACAATTTATTTCATGGTTTTGCTCATAAAATTACGCCATTTTCGTCGAGCAGCGTCAGAACAGGACACTCGTAATTTTTTTTGTATTTTATTTCAAAGTAAGTAATTAAACCAGATCAAAAATTCATGAGTTTTTATAAAAATTATTTAATTATGATGATTAGGAAGAAAATTGATGGGCACTCATATTTTTTGTAGTTTATTTCAAACTATGTATATGTAATTTTGTCGTTATATTAATTACAACATTCTTATTTTAATGTAAACCAAATTAAACCAGATCAAAAATTCATGAGTTTTTGTAAAAATTATTTAATTATGATGGTTAGGAAGAAAATTTATCAAAACACCGGAATAACGTTATTTAAAACAATTATCTAAATTTAACAAACAATTTATTGCAAGGTTTTGCTCGAAATAGTCCATTAAGAACAAAAGAGGCGTTGCGATTGTGATACTGATTTGTGATGCACGCTGTGTGACTGTACGTGGCGTGCGCTTGACGTCGCATAGATGTGCTCACCCTATCAAAACGAGACAAGGCGTCGGGTAGCGTCGCATAGCGTTGCATCGGGTAAATGTGCTCCCTGCTTGAGGAATGAAGGCTGGTGTTACCCAGGTCTCTAGAACCGAGCCTGCATCTGCATAGCAACATAGTTCGTCAATAGAAAAGCATCCGAACTGACAGATCGACTAACGATTAGAAAATTAAAATAAATTAGTACAGTTTTCTCCCGTCTACTAACCCTTTTCAACTTTAAATTAACCCTTTTTAACATTAAATTAAACCTTTCTGATGTAAATTACCAATTTCTTTAAAGCAATATAAAAACCTGGGAGACGGTATGAAATATAAACAATTAATGAAATTAAATTTAATAAATTATGTAGGCTCAAAATCCAAAATGTATGTACATCCATACAAAAATGTGCTGAGGAGAGACTATTCTCTTCTTGTAGTCCATCAACAGTTCAAAGTTTTGTACTTACAGTAAAGTTCAGGCAGACTCGGGCATCACCCACTCCGGGTGTTGGCAATCTGGAGGCAGACCTCTAACAGCTACTGAAGTTGCTGTCAACAGCTAGGTCGATTCAGCACCCAGCGCATACATTTCCAAGCCCATTAGTACTCACGTTTGAAACAGCAAATAATTGGTCTCTTATGAACGATTCTTCTGAGATGAGAGATGATATGTTTTATTAAAATATAACGTTTTGTGGGGAAGAACCAAATATTTATAACTGGCCTACAAACTATTTATTTTATATTTTTAAAAACCTCGAATTAACAGAATAATCAATTGTTTTTATATGTAATTTATTATAACTTTAATTTTGATTGTAATTAATGTATATGTATTTTATTTTAAATCATACATTTTTTTATTTTAATTCGCAAAACTCAAACCTAAATTTAACTCCATTACAGTTCATGGTCCGATTGACCAATTAACATTTTTCATTTATTTAATATTTATGAAAGCTATTGGTTGAGATAAAAAAGTCAATGGCACGAGCGGGATTCGAACCCACGACCTTCGGCTCATACGCCGTTGCTCTTGAGCTATCATGACTTCGATCCGCTCAGACACCAACTTCCCATCTCAACCTCACCTCTCAAATTTTCCCTCCTTTTTGTCATAAATATTAATTAAATGAAAAATGTTAATTGGTCAATCGGACCACGAACTGTAATGGATTTAATAATTAAACTGAAGTATATCTTCACGAAAGCTCTCCGTGGCCATTTCATTTGTCGTCGAGAATCAAATAGATTGCACGACATTTGAAAAATGGCAAAAAGGAGGGAAAATTCAAGAGGTGAAGTTGATATGGGAAGTTGGTGTCCGAGCAGATTGAAGTCACGATAGCCTCAAGTGGCAGTGTTGGGCAAAAATTAGTCATGTCTAATGATTAATGATTGATCACTCAGACCGTTAGTCATGATTGGTAGTAAGTGACTAATTTAGTCATTAGTCGCCATATGTGATTGAATTGCTAAATTAGTCATGACTAGTAATTAAAACAAGGCATGACTAATTTAGTCACAATATAGTTAGTCATGACTAAATTTCGATAAATCATGTTCAAATGGGTGCTCAAAAAAAGAAAAATACACTTCATCACTTTTAAAAAAGTTTCTAACAGAAATTTATTTCATCAAAACGAAAATCCTTCAACACCTTATTTATTATTAAATCAATCTTCCAATTATAAGTAAAACTCCGTCGTTATGAAAAGCCAAAAAATAATGATAATGATAATAATAATAAAAAAATAAAATAAAAAAATCCTATAACAAGCTACGCTTTGAAAAGTAAATATGTTTACATAACCGATCAATAGAAAAAATATTTCTGTGAATTAAAATTTATTTCACTTAAAAGGAGAGATTTCTACATTATTTGGAAAATACACCATCTAGGGGGTCTTGATTGTAATAAAATAGACATGTAGAATAATTATGTATCTTTGGTTTTCGTTTATGACAACTATTTTTGAAGGTTGGCCTTGAACGACTCTCATCTCAAAATTTTTATCCGGAGTCGGTTGGATTTTGGTAAGTTGGTCATTGTAGCCAGAGTTGGGCAAAATCAAACTAATTCAATCATGATTAAGAATTTTGATTGAAGTTTAATCATGATTGAAGTAGTCATGAGTAAATTAATCATTATATGATTTAGGCATACCTCATGATTGAATTAATTATGATTAAATCATACAATGATTAATTTACTCATGACTAATTCAATCATGATTAAACTTCAACATAATTCTTAACCATGATTGAATTAGTTCGATTTTGCCCAACACTGTCAAGTGGGTAGAGCAATGGCGTATTGAGCCGAAGGTCGTGGGTTCGAATCCCGCTCGTGACGCTGACTTTTTTATCTCAACCAATAGCTTTCATAAATATTAATTAAACCTAAATTTAACTAGTATTATTTATATAATAATCAATGGAAAATTAATGTTTGGACGATTTAGTCCAGTTTTAATAAGTACATCGGTCCGTCAGGAGGTTTACTCCTTAGGAACATTTACAGTGCTTCATCAGAGATGTAAGCAGGACGAATGTACATAAAAATATTTTTTAAACGAAATATGTTACATTATATTTTTTGTTTTTCGTAACAGGTCTCCGACTCCAGCTCCGTTTATTTCGACGGGAAGAAGTACCGATGCCTACCAAGGAGGTAAGAACAAAAATCGTCTAATAATGTAAATGAGCATTAACATTTTTTAAAAAAACACTATTCTCTTTGGTCAACATTCGTTCATTACAAATTTGGTCCATCAGATCGATAATTTATATCCTCTCTGGTTTAGTTTCTGAATTTTGGCACAATGGACGAATAAATAAATTGAACCGGAGATCTGTAATAAAACTTTTATGGTTTTTTTATTGATTTAATCCTTATCTTTCTCACTTGCCTTATTGTAAATACACCTTAGAACCCGGGAAAAAGATTATTTCAAATTTTTTATAAACTTTTTGAATATGGTTTTCTGCTTTTTGTTTTTTGCATATATTTCAAGGTTATTATATATCAGTTTTTTAACATAGATTAAGGAAAACGATATGCATTCGGTTACAAATTAAGTGTAGGATTTTTGGTAAATTTAAACATTTTTTTTCTATTTCAAATTAACTGTTCCTTTAATATATTAATTAAACTGTGTATTTGATCATTTGTTTACATAAAATAATTGGGCTCTCAGACGATGACCATATGAAAATTACTTCCAATTATAATTATAAATTATATAAAAACAGGGGCGTCGGTGGCCGCAACGGTTAAGGCGTTGGCACGGCGCTCATCACTGTAAGTTAAAGGTCCCGGGTTCGAATCCAGCGGCCCTGCATTCGAACCCGACATTCTGAAAAGGTTGGATTAACTACCAACTTTGAAAGCATTACATATTTGAAAATGACTTCGGTCCTCTGGAATGAAATTAATTATCTTTATATTTTTCACAAATCGCAATTGTCCTCATTTGCTGCTACAAGAATAGATTTGATCATTTTCTTTGTAAATAATTAACCTCGAAGCTAAAATAATAGATTAAATGACAGCTTTTATTCAAGGAGGAGGCGGCGGGATGGTGGTCGAATTGGACAGACGAAGAAAGGAATTTTCACCATGGCCCAATTCGAGAGACTGTTCAAGGTTCAGAGTTCAGTTTGCCAGGCAGAAAAGTCTTCCGATGACTGCTTTGGTCTCGTTCCCAGGGAGCGGGAACACATGGCTGCGCTACCTTCTAGAAACTGCGACCGGCGTTTTTACCGGAAGCGTTTATACGGATCGTCAAATTATCAGTAAAGGTAATATTTTTAATGTAAAACCGTTTTTCTTCTTTCGACGGCGACTGTCGATGGAGGAAAAAACAAAACATTTCACTGTGTTGAATGATTTATTCTTAAATAAGGTAAAAGCTTTTATGTGTTTCCTCAAAGATGAGGTACTTTAAACCTCCATAAACCGGGTCTTCACCTAAGGAAAGTGCCGGTTCGATCTGTTTTCGACCGCTTGCGCTGTTTCCGTCCAACGTTCCAGAAGTGTTTTGCGAATCTGAAGTATTTCGTCCTTACAGTGGACGAGTGGTTAAGACGTCCGAATCGGTTTGACCACACTAGCGGTCCTGAGTTAGAATCCTGGTCTAACTACCTAACTTTTAATTGTTAATACAAAAAGTATTAATCTGCAACACCCAACATGTAGTTGAACTTAAGCCCACCTGTATGATGACAACTACTACTACCTCTACATCCTATATACCGTAAATGCCCCGACTACACTTACGTTGATGATACAGCAATACTATATTCTGACCCCATGGAATCCGCTTCCTCCCCAGAGTTATTCCCAGTTTAAATCAAAGCCAAGAAACTACTGACTTACTGACTTACTAGATCTTTCGTCGCGTCTGGCATAAGACCTCATCCATCCAGCGCCTAAATTGACCTATCCTATGATCACTTCCTTGTTCTTCTCAGTTTATATAATATATAACTCATAAAACTCAACTCCCTAAAACAAGAAAACCACCACTCTCCAGGGCTCAGTTGACTGGAAACTTTTCCGTGATTCTAATCATGTTATATCGATCTACTTCCTTTTCTACCCTGCACCTTCCGGGCTGGCAGCAATCCACTTTACCCCATCCTCTATGAAGAGGTTGCTAGGGGCAATGAAGAAGTTGATAAATTGACTAAGAAAAGTTCATTTAATACACCTATCAGCCCCAAACTCTTTTATGGTATGCCAAAAAAGTAGATCAATGAATTAAAAATAAGTCCTCGGTTCTATGGGATTGTATTCAGGACAGATACATGCAAAAAAGTTCATTAAACGACAACTGTACTAAACTTAAGATGTGTTAGGACTAAAATGGTAGTTGGACTGCTGACTAGACATAGCAGACTCCAGAGACAGCCGGAGTAGCAGAAACAAGGCTTTGCAGATATTTGCTAGGAAGAAGAAAAAACAACGTCACATGTCCTCCTTCCTACTCCTGGGCTGACAAAGCTTTGGGATCTGATGCAAAACCTCAACGAAGAAGTCTAGACAATAATGTAGATTGTACAATTAACCAACATTGGTCGGCGTAGTAAGGTTGTAAAGAAATTGACTTCTTTTAAGCTTAACCTTAATTCTCTCGGACGTCGATTTGTAGCCAGAGGAAACTAGTGTGGGACCCATAACCTCATCCATCTCGTGGCCTAAACGATCCCACTCTGCCCATTTCCCAGCTCTTCTCAGTCTAAATATAACTCAACTTCGTAAACCAAGAAAACCACCCATTGCAGGGCTCAATTGTCTAGAAACTATAAGATATCCTGGATTTCTTTGTAAACATTTAAACATATAGAAGACCCGAGCTATGTGTTAGGTTTGTCTGGATCTTGCAATTAATTGTCTGTTGTACATTGAAAATTGCGAACAATTCAAGCAAAGTCAGCACTTTGCGCCCACAGCGCCACAAATCATCGATCAAACGCAGGCTTTTCGTTTAGATTTATACTAATATTATTTTCAAGGTTTCTACGGAGAAGCGGTGCCGCCGGACTGCGGTTGCACTTCCGTGCAGAAGACGCACGGCTTCGCCCTGGCCGGTTTCGTCCCTCAGGAGAAGAAGAAATCGGCCGAGGTCCTCTGGTTCAGAGGAAGGGCGATTCTGCTCCTTCGCAACCCTTACGAAGCGTTGCTCTCATACAGGAATTTCCTCTACGGCGGTCATACGGGCTTCGCGCCGAACGACAGGTTCAGGGGTCCAGGTAAATCCTCAACTTGAAGCCGAAAGTAACTCGGACCCGACGACATCGCCCACTCAACAAAGAAAAACAGTGAAATCGAAGAACCATACATCTTACGAAAATTTACCGTTTGCAAAGCACAATAATTATATACTTCTATTTTTCCCATATTCTAGGACTTATTAGCAAGAAAACTCGTACACATTGCTCATCTTTTTCGACCTAGTATCAGCACAAAAGATTTCATTAAAACCGGTGATACTAAGTCAGGAGCATCTCCTTCTTTTTACCTGGTATAAGAAAATCATATACAGGTTATAATTAGTTTAGATACATAAAAAGTTAGAAATACCAAAAGATTCTCTATGTAAAATAGCTTAAAAAATATGGAGACGAGTTAGGGATAGGTAGGGTTAGGGTTAGGGTTGTGTTAAGGTTACGTTAGGTAGAGTAAGAATTTGGCATCCTCACATTTCTGAGCATGGAAATCACATCATAGTTTACATTATTCGGCTTTGAAATTTTACTGTAAGAAACTCGAAAATCGATAGACTAAATGAATTATTGAATCTAGGGTTAGTGTGGAGATAGGTTAGGATAGGTAGGGTTAGGGTGAGGATTGAGTACAGGTTAAATGAGACTAGGTATATAAAAATTTACAAAAACAATAATTGCTTTCAGTGACCAAAAAACATTTTCTTGCAGAAAACAATTCAGATTCGTTTTAAGCATCACTTTAAGCGCTCAAAGGTGGGGTTACAGTTGGGGACCAGGATAGGTGGTTTAGGGTTAGGACTAGATTCGGTAGTATTAGGTTTAGTTAGGTTTGGTTAGGTTTTCTCTAATGATTTGATTTTTTTTAAAAATCGTATCCGTTTTAAGAACCCTTTAATAAGAATTAAAAAACAAACGTTTATAGAGTTCTACGTCCTACTAAGTTCTTGTAGGCCAGTGCAGTCATCAAAATTATCGTCATTTTTGGGTTGTTCGGAGAAAAAAATAGGAGGAAATTTTCCAATTGAATTAGTAGGGGACAATTTTCGTTTCTGGACGTCAAGTAGTACCGGGAAAAAATTCTTAACAACTCTGGATTTTATCTAAATCCTTAACGTTAATACCATCTAACATTAAGTAGGGTTACTCTTGAACAAGTTATCTTAGGTATGGTTAGGTTAGTTTAGATCAGGTAGTATAAGATTAAGTTAGGTTAATTAGGGTTAGGGTTAGGTTTTCTCTAATGATTTGATTAAAAAACACAATTCGTATTCGTTTTAAGCACTCTTTAAAGCTCTTAAATAGCAAGTACAAAATAATCATTTTCCAATTGAATGAGCCGTTGACAATTGTGTTTTTTGATGTCAAGTAGCGCCACTAAAAAATCATAACTCCTCTGAATTTTATTTAGTTACCTAACATTAGGTAGAGTTACGCTTGAACAGATTGTAAGTTGGGTAGGGTTAGGTTAGGTTAGGTAGCAGAAACAAGCCTCAACTATAGCCTGAAGAAGACGAAACAGTGGAACATATCTGTCGGTGCGAATGCATAGGCAAAGCTGATAGTGGCTTAGAAAGGACAAAGGCTAAGTCTGAAGTTTTCGTATGACATTTTCAATTTCAATTCTGTTAGTTATATATGTAATAGGGCGAAAAGTCTACGGGTCCAGTTATGTTATATGTAGCTATTAGAAAACATAAAATAAACCAAGATCAGTATAGTTTGACAACAAAACAGATTGGGATTTTAAGATTGGGAGAGATTTGCGTTACGGCTTGCCGTTGTTTGGAAGGAGCTGGCTGCAACGTGGATAAACAGTACACGAGGCGGTGAAGCGATCGCATTGCATTTCGAACGTTTGAAGATAAACCCAGAAACGTGTTTGCACACCGTTTTGTCATTTCTGAACATTGCCTGGGATAGCCGAAGACTCTCTTGCGTCCTATCGCACATAGACGGACCCTTCAGAAGGCCACGTTCTCCCCAGAGCCTTATATTTGATACCAGGTCCGTTCAAAAAGAACACAAAAACAAAATTAGCAGCATGGCTATCGTAAATAGTTGAGAATACAAGCGCTTGCTGATCAGCATGGTGACATCACGCCAAGGCACATTTTTCAACAATTATAACAGAAACATTTAAATTTTACACTTGATACAGTTCAAACATGCATGTTTACTAAATTTATGTTAAAAGTATATAGCTTTGAACAGCTCAGCGCTGAATATACAATACTGGCCTTTTATTGTTTTACCTTTTGACATGACCTATATAATTCCACTACAATTGGAAAACTCCTTCACAAGTTCAAAGGTTTGTTTTATTCATTTATTTCTTTTTAACCACAATGTATGATGCCATCCTACTCTGTCCTCATTCCTAAAGCTCACAAACCACCCAACCACATATCCTCCTACAGACTCCTACAGACTCCTTAGGATTCAGAGTTGTTGTCCTCCGTTCAAGAGTATTGCTTGGCTTCTTGGATGTGGCACGGGCTTTTGATATGGTCAGTGACCGAGGCACCCTCATTCCTCCTGGATTCCTATTTAACTGACCGCTACGTCAGAATGAGGTGTGGAAACGATCAATATAAAGCGTTTCACAAGGGAGGGTTCTCGGTCCCATCCTGTTATTTATAATGCTGACATTCCCAACACCATCATTACCTTCCACTGTTCATCAACTGAAAGTTGGTACCGACTTCCGCTCAAGTCAGATACTTAGGATTAGACGCGGAATCCTGTCACAAAATCGAAGATTCGAGTTAACAGAAGTCTTGGGCAACTACGACTGTTCGGACGTAAATCTAATCTGACCGTCAAAACTCAACGGAGTAAAATGAGGGATTCAGCCAAACCAATTTCCATCGTAAGGCCCTTTACGAAACCAGAACGCTTCCGACCCATTCCTAACTCATCATCCTATTTAGCTGACTGATTAGCTGACACACTCTGCTTCAGAGCAGCAACAAATACTTGGGTATTAGACCAATACGTGTAGTCCGTCAAGGGAGCATTCTTAGTCCAATCCTACCATTTATACTGCTGATTGTACTATACGTCCTAACATCACTACCATCTACGCGGATAACACCGCAATTCTATCCAAGCAACCTTCAACGTGAAACACCTTGAATCCTAACCCTGCTGCCCAAGCCATTTTTACTCTTTCCCATCCTGAAAACCACCCACGTCACCCCAAACGGCAATTGACACCGCATATTGAGAGACCAGTATTAATTGGTTTCTCTTAGCCTGTGTCCTCCTGGTTCGTGCTGGTCATAGTGTAAGTGTTGTGACAAATGTAATGCGTGTTAATATGTTTTCGCAACGGTTCACACAAATTTTGTTGCATTTGGTTCGAATTGTGGTTGTACGTCACCTAATAAAGTTGAACCACCTTTCAACTAATCGGCGTGACTTGGTTGACTAATTCTTATTCGATCTGATCAAGATTTTTGAAGACTGTCCTCGCTGTTCTGGGTTGATTCTGTCAGAATCGATTCGACTTTTCGCCCCTAAACTTACCCAATTCTTAAACCAACTGAACCTCACTCTGATCTCACCTACTTAACCATTTCTCTAACCCCAACATAACCTAACTCTACCTAACACTAACCCAAACTAACCTCACAATTTTAACTTAACCCTAACTTGCCCATCCCGAACCAAACCTAACCTCACTCCAACTCTAAAATTACCCATTATTAACCCAAACCTTAACTCAACCTTACTCTAACATAGCCCTACTTAACCCTAACCTTAACCATCACTAACCAATCCAATAACTGCACTAACTGTTTTAATCTGTCCAAATCGATTCAATTTTTCGCCGTTTTTAGTGGTGGTTCACGTTGTAATCCTAGTTTTTCCTGGTTTTGAAAACACAAAAAAGGACAAAATTATCATAAAAATTTAGAATCGTTGTTGGACAAATAACCGTCATGTCGATCATCATGACAACACAACGACTTATATCGATGAATCGACAACAATACACTGACATAGATTAGGCGATCCATTAAACCAAAAACATCCAATGAAAATTGAAATCACCATGACTTGGATAAAAAAAACGACAAAAGAAATAAAACTAATTTGACACAGACTTTAAATGACCGTGGGACTGACATCAAAATGATAATCGATCGTCAAGTTCACCAGTCCAGTTCAGCAAATTATAGAACCGTGTACTAGGTGTGAACGAATGCAAGTAAAGAATGGGACATAAAAAGAGTTATTTTGCACAACTGTTAACAAAAAACATTTCCACATTCCGTTCTTTATTGTAAGTAGACATCAAGACTAAAGTAAAAATCAAACCGTGGGAACATTTTTTTTGGGGGGAGGGCGACTCGTCAAACAAAAGTTAATTTTAAAACATTATTGTTATTTTCTATCTTGAGAGTTCACACGGCGTGGCAACCCTGTATTTATATCAGCTTTCTAAACAATAAAAAATATAGAAGCATCACAGTAATAATAGTTGTTTAGATAATCATAATCGAAAAACAGTGTGAAGGTTTTAAATATTTAGTTCAGCTCCTCTCAACACCGGCCGAAAATTCCAGTTACTAAAATGCCTTGGCTTTGATAATTACTCACTAATGTTAAGAGAAGAAAGTTGCATATATCGAGCATTCGCCATAGGAAATACCATTTTAATGACCTGAGTTTTAGGTGGCCCTGAGAAGGCAGGTGTCGTTTTAGAGCTGTGTGCATCAATCTTGTATGACGTTTATGCCTCGGGCAGTGGTCAAATTGTAGAAGTGTTGAATGATGGAAACTTTACTAAGCCACAAGCAGTCACCATATAGGAGCCAAAACTTACCGAAATGATCAGAATGTGTAGTAAAACGGATTCTCAGTTATGTGAGGGAAACTTGGTAGTTAACCATGCAAGGCTCGGACGCCATAGAGAGAACGTTCCTACTACGTTAAATTTTAGATCCCTTAGATTCATAGTTTTGAAGGCCAAAGTCGGCGCTTTCAGACATACCAATCTGGACTCCATTAAGTTGGTCATTGTAGTGGTTGAATCTTAACCAACAACCTAATCCTAAAATCGGACATATCTGACCGTTAATTCATCTTATCCAAGATGGCGTACCACAAGGAAACATTCTTAAACATCTCGTTTAAAAGTCATATACATCTGGCATCGACGGTTTCCTAAGGGGCACAGGTTCAGTACTAAGTAAAAACCACTGCCTAGCAGAGTGGGGAAGGAAAGGGAAAAAGAAGGAAAGTGAAATACCTCCATTATTGGTTACTCCTAGACGCCAGAAAGGGCTTTTTGGCCTTATTCGACGATATTCGGCCACAATAATTTTAAAAGTATACTACGATCGTCGGTCTGATCTACAGGTTGAAAAAATATTAAAAACATAACCTAATCCTTTTTAACCTAGCCTAACATAACTCTAACCTAACCCTGCCTAACCCTAACCTTAACTATTCCTAACATAGACTAACCCGACCCATGCACGCTCCCTGGAAATGTGATAATGGTACAACAGAGCCTAACCTTACATAACCCGAGCCCTCTTTAATCCTAACCTTAACTATTGCTAACCTGCACACATCAAGTACACTTTCCAGAAAAACGATAATGGTACTACCTAGCCTAGACTAACCATACAGCCAGACTAATCGTACTTAACCCTAACAAATCAATCCTAACTTAACCTATCCCAACCCACGCACACTCCCCGGAAACGCGATAATGGTACAACCTAGCCGAACTTTACTCCACCCTGCCTAAACTATCCTAACATTACGTAATCTAACCTCAACCATCCCTAAACTAACCAAAACCACGCAAGTTCCCCGGAAACGCGATAATGCTATTACCTAGCGTAACCTAACTCAACACTAACCCTACTTAACCCTATCCAATACCATTCCTAACATAACTTAACCCAACCCATGCACGCTCTCCAGAAACGTCATAACGGTAAACCTAGCCTAACCTAACTCAACCCTAATCTTATCTTAGCCTAACTTTAACCATTCCTAATCTCAGCTCGCCCAACCCATACAAACTCCATGGTAACTCGAGTAGAAAAACATCATTTTTGTGAGTCAAGAATGGACAATAACTACCAAAGTAATCAAATGGTGTAGTAAAATTTTGGAATGGTTCTCTGTTCAATGGTGAAAACTGGGTAATTCAACAAGATCCGGCCCCAGCAGACAAGTGGTCAAGATAGAACGGTCCTGCCTTCCTCTCATTAAATTTAAACTCCTTTTATTGCGCCATATCAGTGCTTTCAGGCAACTGGCAACAGATGGCCCTTGTAAGAGAAACACGGTGCACCAATCCTATAGTCCTGAGCTTGCTCCTTTAGATTACCTATTCTAATCAATGGCTCTTTGATCAATATTAAGATTTTATTATTATTTAAATCGTTTAATTTCACATAGCTATATTATCAACCGAACCGCATTGCCTTGAATACTCCGATTTACCAAAGAACGGACTTACACACTGGCTTCGCTGCTAGATTAAATTTTTCATTATATGACTTATTTATATTGTGTTTTACATGTGTTTTTTTGTTTTTTTCAGAGATCCTTTCTCACCACGCCTTCACCTCCTTATCGACGGCCTCATACACGAGGTGAACGATATGCTCCTCAAGAGAGGATGGGAACAAATGCCTGTTCATTTGTTCAAATTTTACAAAGGAAACCAAACAAAACTGCGCAAGTCTCAAGTCTACTAGTAAATTTTTTGTACATAAATGTAGATGTAAAAATAACAACGAACCGGATGGTGGATGTTGTAAGTTTGGAATATTTCGACTCCTGACTTTAAACGAAACAAGGGAATTTAAAGTATTTTGATTTCACCAATGAAATATTGGTTTTGTAATAAATTTTGCTAATTAAATTTATAAAAAAAAAATAGTGTAGAAATCTCCAGTTATTTAGTAGAAGCTTTTGTACAACCGGACAAACCGTTTGTTTTGAAACATTTTCAAGGCAAATTCGTTTTCCTAGCACTGACAATAATTTTTCACATACAATCTCTCGCTTAAAATAAAAATCTTGTAATATTATAAATTAATACCCGTACACGATTATAGCAATATTACTGAATATGTTTTACTAAATTTTGGTCATAGGCACTAGAGAGGAGGAGAATGAATTGATTTTCAAATTTCCGCTTAAAATATATTGTAAAAATTAAAGACTCCAATTGGGTATTCATTCCAATTCGTATTTTATTGTCGGCCTTCTGAACTTTGTGGAGCAGTGTCAACAATAAAAACAAAGTGCCTACGGAATCGCCAATTTTACTGATGCAAAATCGTTATTATTTTTATAATAGATATATAAAAATATTTAAAAAAAAAAAGCTATTGCCTTATTCATACTGTAATTTAAATGTTAACAAACGAGTGGAAATGCTCTCAACACCAATAAATCAACATATATTAGCTTAACAATATCGTTTTAATATTAATTGAATACTTCCAATAAAATTAACACTATCGACCACTTTATAAAGCTAGTCTTACAATCCAGTGGTCGCCAAATGGCGTTCCATAAAGCTATGACCCAGTGGACACCACATCGAGTTTTATTAGGCAAAAGTCCAATTACGCAGCTGAAGCCACTTGGCGTTTCATAATGCGAGTTCTATTATGAGTCTGGCGCCACTTGGCGTTTTATAATGCGAGTTCTATTATGAGTCTGGCGCCACTTGGCGTTTCATAATGCGAGTTCTATTATGCGTCTGGCGCCACTTGGCGTTTCATAATGCGAGTTCTATTATGCGTCTGTCGCCACTTGGTGTTATACAGAGGTAGTCTAACAATCAAGTGGACGCCACATAGGCTGTTCGAAAGCGAGTTCTTTTACGTGTCGGACGCCACTTGGCATTTTATACAGCTAGTCTTACAACCCGGGGACGCCACATAGGGTTTTATAAAGCCACATGGCGTTTCGTAGGGTATTCCTATTACCAGTCGGACGTCACTTGGCGTAAGGCTTTTAGGGAGGTATGTAGACTACTAGCGAGCGGCCCAGTGCTGATAGTGTAAGATATTGGGAGTTGTATATGAGCAATATTTAAAATGAGATTTCAGTTAGTGTTACGTAAATATAATTAATTTTCGCTTCGCTTTGTTTACAAATATTGCGAAATTAACTATCACAAACGCATAAACTTTTGGACATTGTCGTTTATAGCGCTCAAAATTCCGTCCATTCAAATTAACAGAGGTATCTATTTAAAAAAAAATCTTTGTGTACTTATAAAAGCTTTTTAGACGAAAAGTGCCTTTCGTATTGCTAAAACTGCAGCGTGTTATATAGCCTGTCCACTATTTCATCATTTTTCCTCATAAGAAGCTCACATGTTCTATTCGAACGTAGTAATCACGATTGAAATAGATTGTATAGCGTCATTAGTTTCTTGGAAAGTTTTTCTGGTCCTCTTTATTCTAAGACGAGATTGTTATTTTACTGGAAAGCAATCTTAGTGATACATTAAAGAAATAATTAAATCGAATTATAATTGTTAATTAGATAATTAAAGCATTAAGCGAAAATAAATTTCAAAAAATATTAACCTTAAAGTTTACAAGTTTGACTATGTGATAAATATTTGTGATCATTCAGTAAAACTGGTTTTTACAGATGTTTTTAATCTTTTATTAAAAACCCTCCCACTTTATTTTTCACTTTAATCCTTAAACTTTTATCCTGCTATTGATATGGACATATTTTCTTCCCTTTGTCCGAGGACTTAGGGTTTATTTTACATCCGTCCCTGCTTATTGCTAGGCTTACCGGACGCCCAGGGGTGCTTAAAGAACCCCCAGGGGTTTGATGGCTTCCAGTATTTCTACCTTCAGCCACCCTCCGGAGAGGTAGATAAGGGTAGCTCTACCTCCGGCTCCGGTTGGCCGGTACCCTCCAGCTAAGGTACAAGTTGTTTTCAAACCACGACCACTACGAGTCCAACCTCAATTGGGGGCTACTTGGAGTTACCCCCGCCCGTGGTTCAGTATAAGTTTTAAGTTACAATTAATTGAGGTTTTTAGTTGAGATAAAAAAGTCAATGGCACGAGCGGGATTCGAACCCACGATCTTCGGCTTGATACGCTGCTCTACCACTTGAGCTATCGTGACCTCGATCCACTCGGAGACCAACTTCCCATCTCAGTTTTAAGGTGTGACTGATCGCCCACCCGGGGGTTGTCCCCCTACTGTTTTCACCCGTTACCCGAGGGGTGAGGGTTCAGTAACCCAGGAAGCCTCCACCAAAGTAGAGGGGGGAAAGAAAGGTAAGGTGATTCGCCTCCATCACTGGTAACCTCTAGACGCCTGAGCTGATGGTAGGACTTGTCTAGGCCCATAGGGAAATTACCCTATGGGGACTATTGATATGGACATAGTTTCCCTTCCTTTCCCTTTGTCCCTTCGGACATACGTCCGTCCCTGCCTATTGCTAGGCTCACCGGACTTTTTTGGTGGCTTCCAGTATTTCTACCTTCAGCCATCCCTCGGAGAGGTAGATAAGGGTACGCTCTACCTCCGGCTCCGGTTGGCCGTTACCCTCCAGCTAAGGTACAAGTTGTTAATTAAACCACGACCACCACGAGTCCAACCTTAATTGGGGGCTATTTGGAATTGCCCCCTCCCATGGTTCAGTATTGTTTTTAAGGTGAGACCGATCGCCCATCCGGGGGTTGCCTCCCTACTGTTCTCACCCGTTACCCAAGGGGTGAAGGTTCAGTAACCCAGGAAACCTCCACCAAAGTGGAGGGGGAGTTGGTAGGAATAAGGAAAGGTAAGGAAGGTACAGGAAGGTAAGGGATTTGCCTCCATCATCGGTTACCCCTAGACGCCTGAGCCGATGGTAGGACTTGTTTAGGCCCATAGGGAAGTAACCCTATGGGACAGATTGATATGGACAGTAGAATACAATAAATATTGCGATTCTATTATGGTTCTGTCACCACTTGGCGTTTTATAGAACTAGTCTTACTACTAAGTGGACGCCACTTGGCATATCATAAAGCGAGTACTATTTCGCGACACACCTCATTTTATTTTTCACTGTTATATCCTTCAATGTTCGTCTTTTGAATAATAAGGACACAGCAATAAAGAAGAAATAAGGAGAATTACAGTTTGCCTCGCTATCATTATTCCATGTACTTTTTTCAGTTGGACGTTGTCCCCTTCCACGACGTCCTTGATATTGAATTGATAGTAATGGAGATAATTTACGAAGAAAAGATATGGGTATTATTAAATCAGTGAAGCTGGGATTTGATTCGGTTATGTTCCAATTGTTATTTTTAGCGTTGTACCTGCCTACGACCACTCTGGCCGTAAAACCTAAGGAATATGGCAAGGCGATATTCCTCACGCCTTTCATCGAGAGAAACAAGATAGACATCGCATTAAACCAATCAAGAGTGCTTCCGTTGAAGGGCTCGGATGTTGTAAGCCACGCCGGATTTTTAACGGTAAACAAAGCGTATAACTCATGTTTGTTTATGTGGTTTTTTGAATCGGAAACAACCCCCGAATACGCCCCAGTCGTGTTGTGGCTCCAAGGAGGCCCGGGATCTTCCGCCTTGCAAACGATATTCCAGGAAAACGGCCGTTACTACCTCAAACCGTCGAAAGGCGTGGGTTTGAGGAAACACTATTTGTCCCAATCTATGAACACGATTTACATCGATAGCCCTGTCGGCACAGGTTTCAGCTTTACAGACAGGGCCGAAGGGTACTCCAGGGATGAGAATCAAGCGGCAGCCGATCTGTACAAAGCCTTGGTCCAAATCTTCCAGCTCTTCGAGAAATATCGAAGAAACGAGTTTTTCATCGTCGGACAAGAATACGGTGGTAAACTGGCCATCTCGCTAGCTGAATTGATCACGGAAAAGAACCAAAACAACGTAAAAAAAATAAATTTGAAAGGTTTGGCGATCGGAAACGGCCTCTTCGACCCAATAAGTATGGTAGATTCTTACGCCAATCTTCTCTACACGATTGGCTTGATCGACCTCGAATGGAAAAAACAATTCGAAACCAAACAGGCCGAATTAAAAAGATTAATTGGTCAAAACCAATTCTCCAATGCGGTCGACACCTACATCGACATGCTCATCGGAAATGAGAACAGCATGTTTAAAAATGTGACTGGCTATAAGAACAGTTTGAACTATTTACAAGATACCGAGAATAGCCTGTACGGAACTCTGGAATACAACCTGAAAGAGAAACCGTTTTTGAGAAATGCTACTCACGTGGGATATGTCCCCTTCAACGACGGCGTTGTCGCCAGAGACTACTTGAAAGACTCCATAATGCAATCAGTAAAACCGAATCTGGAGAAACTGCTGCCGAAATATCGGGTGCTCGTATATTCCGGACAGCTGAACATTATGGTCCCCTACGTAGCGATTTCAAAATTCCTGAACAGCCTGAAATGGAGCGGAAGCTGGAGTTTCAAACTGGCCCCTAGAAAATTGTGGATCGTGGACGGCGCCATTGCCGGATACTGCAAACATACAAAAACCTTGTCAGAAGTTATGATCAAAGATGCTGGACAGTTGGTGTCTTTCGACCAGCCAAAACTGACCAAGGAGATGATAGTTAAATTCACAACCAACACATTCACTGAGTGCTCTTAGATTTTTTTTATTATAACCAAATCTGGCATATCCATAAAAAATGAATTTTTTAAATTTGTAAAAAAATCTATATTTTATTTATATATTATATTATTATTCTTTTTTTCATGTTTTAAGTATTAAAAACGATCAATTGTAGTAAACTGCTTTTTTCTCAAATAAAGAATCTCAATATGAACAATGTTAATTTTATTATTTTTGGTTTGTCCTATCTATTTCTCCATTATAAAAAATAATTCCATGATTTTTCCCTTTTGTTTAGGAAATACAAGCTGATTTGATTGATTAAAATTTATTAACATATATATTTCTGGTAAAATTATTCTTCTAAGGCCAGTTTTTAGAAATCAGGTAATTAGATTAAAAAAAGTTATTTATCAATACACTGTTTTCTTTATCCATAGGTTTTATATTTTATGCCATTACAAATGAGAGAAAACTTCCTGGAAAAATATTGCACCATGGATATTCAATTTAACCTTAACTAAGGTTAAACTTAAACTAAGGTAACCTAACCTAACCCTACTTAACTTAACCTATTCAAATCTAACCCTAACTAAGGTTAGGGACGGGTTAGGTTACTATTGTTTCCCCAATCCAAATGAGATTTACAACTCTAAACAACATGTAATGGTACAAACCAGTTCATCCTAAATAAATTAGAACCGGAAATATAAAATAAAATGTTTGATGATGTTTCATTAATTTTGTTCTTAACACTATCACTTATGTCATAAGGCCTAAGCGTTGTTGACATTGGCAGAAATCAAAGAAATGAATTTTCCAACAATTGTAATAACATTGAATTTGGATGAAATCCAAAGGAGTTGTGTATGTTTTAGAGAAAGAAATCTAACCCTAACTCCACCTAACCTAACGTAATACTACTTAACATAACATGAACCTAATTCTACCTGACCTAATCCAACACTACCTGATTTAAACATACCATAACTCTACCTAATCTGACCTAACCCTTCTTAACCAATCCTGTTCAAGTCTAACCCTACATAAAGTCTAAACCTAGATCACTATTTTTTCTCCGATCCAAATGTGATTTTACAGGTATTTAGAACCCTCTAAACTACACTTAATGGCACAAACTTGGCCATCCTGAAGAAATTAGAACCTGAGATATAAAGGGATATAAAATAAAACATTTGAGAAACTTTTGATAATTTTGTTCTTAATGTTTTCACTTATGACAATATAAAATCTAAACATTTTGGGATGGGCTGAAAGAAATGAAATTAAACTGTCCAACAGTTGTAATAATGTCGATTTGTATAAAATCAAGAGGTGTTGAGTTAGAAAAAAATCTTACTCTAACTTTACCTAAACTAAACCGATACTACTTAAGCTAACCTAACCTAACTTGTTCAAAAGCCTAACCCCATTTAACCAACTTGTTCAAGTCTAACCCTACCTAAAGTTACGAATGGGTTAGGTTACTATTTTTTCTTCACACCAAATGAGATTTTACAGGGATTTAAAAAGACCTCTAAACTACACAATGTTATGAAATAGAGAAAAAAAATCTCCCCTAATTGTACCTACCCAGAACATAACACTACCTGATTTAAACTGACCCTAAGTTAACATTACATAATCTAACTTTTCCTAAACTGTTCACAAGGCATCCAGGTTTTGGACTGATCAGAGAACCAACGTTTAAAAAGAGATCCACCATTTCACCTCACCAAGATGACTCAAGTACCTTTCATTATAACATTGTTTTTTCTTTTAAATAGAGCTGTACTAGCATAAAATAAATTAATAGTACATAAATTTCAATAATCCAGAAGGAGAAACAAAGGGGAAAAGGAAGATTTTTGCAGCTGAGCGTGTCCTATTGTTAGCATATAACACACCTGCTGTTCTGTAAGAAAGTCTTGCAGTTTTTATTTTATTCATTCATCTTCCTAAAATAAAAATAAATAAATAAAAAATTAATAAAGTATAAATATCTGTATTTTCAAGATTCTCCAAAAATAACTGCTATTAAACAGTTCGAATAAAACATTGTTACATATAACCTGGTACATTGTATAATAATATAAATTCAAATTTTACGGCATATAAATTAATAAAAATATTGATAATATAACAACTATCATTTTATTTAAATATATATAAGATAAAATATCACTTGTTTGTTTGGTTACGTAGTTAACATCGACTCTTTAATCACATTTTTTCATAATAGTAATATATACAATTAACCCATATTTCTATGCTTATCTTCTGCTGAAAAATACTCTTGCGCTGTTAATATTGTAGTATAGAAACTGGAATTCCTGAAAAAATCCATAGTGTTTTTTAATAATACACAGTTATATAAATGTAAGCAAAATTACCCTTTTATACATTTGAAGCCTTCGTATCGACAGTTTCAGCGTATTTTCATGAGCGGAATCTTCACGAAGGAATTCTGTAGATTCCCTAATTGCGGCCTCCTCTTGCTCGTACTTTCTGTTCACTGACTCGAACCAATGCAAAGAATCAAATTCAGTGTTCAACTTAAGAACGGCCAATAGGAATGCAATACCTGCAAAAAAGAATTATTTTCACCACCGTTTCAACTACCGACACCAGACAAATTTCGACTTTATTTTTGTTAAGTTTTTCAAATTATACTGACTGTTAATATTTGAAAATTACCCATCGCAAATCCATCATCCGTAAACACCGTCCCATCTTTATTTCTCTTCATCATCTTTTCCTTTGCTGTTACAATGTAGTCTATGTAATTAATGGTCAGAGGTGGAATGATCATTGCAAATAGTTGCAAATGGCTGTTTTCAGGAGTGTTAAAAATTGATGTAAACGCATCGACCAAAAGCTGAAATATTTTGTAAAGATTAGTCAATAATTAACATGATTCTTCCTTGATTGGATAATTTTGCACAAACATTTATTATATGTGATGTAATAATAACAGTACCTAATTGACCAATCCCATTTAACTTCAACTTTAATTCAACTGCCAGAAAATGGAGATCTTGTTCTGAAAGTAAAAAGGAAAGGCCCAGGGAAGGAAGGGATTCAGCGTTTGTTTTCTATTTTTCTTCTTTTTGGAAGATGAGGGAATGTGTTAATCAGTAACCACTGTTATTTTATTTCTGCAAACATCACAATAAAAATAGACATTTTGGGCTGGAATAGTTAAGGGCAATGTTACACATGGATATTTCTTTAGGTACATAAATTTTTTGTGTGACCATTTTGACACTTTGATTTCACATTCTGGGGTTGGGTTAGGTAAAGTAGGGTTAGAGTTAAGGTTAGGCTAGGTAGTAATTGGATAAGTTATGTAGAGTTAGGGTAGAGTTCTATTAGGCTAGAGGGATTAAGTTAGGTAGGTAAGGGATAGAATAGGTTGGCTAGAATATGTTGGGTTAGTAGTATTAGGCTAGAGTTAGTTAGACAAAGAGGTATAGATAGGGTAGAGGGTTAAATTATGTTAGGTAGTATTAGGGTTATATTAGGTAGTAGTAAGGGAGCTTAAGTAGGGTTTGTGTTAGATTAGGTTAGGGCTAGGTTTTTATCTAATGATTTCATCTGGAAAAAAATTCTTATCCATTTTAAGAACCTTTTAAGGCCCTTAAGTATAAATTTTTATAGAAAACAAAAATTAAACATTTTTAAACTGAATAAGCCAATTTATCATCATTGATTTAACGTTACCAAGGAGTTCACATGGGTTGGGTTAGGGTTGAATTAAGTTAGGGTAGGTCAGGAAGAATTAGTGTTAAGGTTAGGTAAGTTAGTAATAAGCGAGGTTATGGTCGGGTTAGAGTTAAGGTGAGATTGGGTTAAATTAAGTAGTGCTAGGTTAGGTAGGGTTAGGGTTAGGTTTTTATAAAAGGATTTGATTTTGAAAAAATTCTTATTCACTTTAAGAACCTCTTAAAACCCTCAAGTATATATGATTTTTTATAGCAAATCAAAATGAAACATTTTTAAACTAATTGGCAAGTTTTTCCTTCAAAGTCAGTTGTTTCACTTAAAACTTCATAACTCCTCTGGATTTTATGTAAATACAATATTATTACTACAGTTTGGAAAGCTGAGCTGAGTATTTCTTGTTCAGCCTATGTTAACAATGCTTACATTTTATGTTATTATAAATGAGAAAGTTAAGAACAAAATTAACAAAAAATTCCTCAAAAGATTTATTATACATCTCCAGTTTTAATTAATTTAGGGCAGCCAGGTATGTGCCACTGCATGTAGTTGAGAGGGCTCTAAAGCCCTGGTAAAGTTTCCTGTGGATTGGTAAAGTATTTTCAAATGTATCATCATTTTTAAGAAAAAAAAAATAATTAACCCGTCCCTAACCTTAAACTAACCTGAACCCTCTCTTACCTAGAAGTTTCTATTCAAGGTTTTTGGGGTGCAGAAAACGAATATCAACTATATTTCTTACTTAAAAAAATAAAAATTAAATAAAATAAAATTATATATATACATTGCTATGACACATGGTCTTCAAACCTTCAGTGCTCTTCAGGAGTAAAAGGAGTGATTTTTTGAAAGACAAGTATTATGTACCTTTCCAACCAAAGAATATACACCATAGACTATAATTAAATTATCAATACCAAACAAAATAAGATTACTTACTTTGAGGTGGTCTGTATTTTCCGATAAAGTGTGAATAATATTAAACATTATTTGGTCAAAAGACTCTATAGCCAATTTTCCAGTATTTCCTAAATTATCCCTGGAAATTGATATGTAATCTATTTGAGGAAGGTAGGAAGCTGCTTGTAAACAATGGTGTAGGCCTCCAGTTCGCACCATCCGAATATATCCGAGCGCATTTCCTGAATCATAAACCAATAAAATTAACATAAAAATATACAAGTGCGAATAAATCCGATACCATACCTATCTGTGTGATAAGAGAGCGGTATTGATCAAGAAAGGTAAAACCGTCAGATGAAACTCCAAGGCGAGAAATTCCTTTGTTAAATTTGTTAGCTCTATCATAAGGGTAATATGAATTTTTAGACTGTTTCAATTCGTTAAATAAACTTTGATCTTTCATAAGCCTTGAACTTATATCCTCATGGTATAAAAATTGAGAAAACACAAGAAACTTCTTCTTTAAAAATTGATAAATGAAATTTGTCTGGAAAAATAAGTTCAGAAATAATAAATAATAACCATATTAAATATCCTGTTTATATACAGTTGTATTCATCACTCCGGTCCCGTGTGTCCATATTGAGTTAGCTATCTGTACAATTTTTATTGTATTTAAATGTTTGCTGTTACTATTGTTTTCGATGAAGCACTGTGTGTTCAAATTGTAGAGGTATTTGCAGACAAATACATGAATGTTTCGCATAATTTGTAAAATATCCAAACTCTGAAACAACCAAAAAAATAATAAAACCCTCTTGGAGAGAGAAATATATACCGATAATTTAACAATTCAAAACTATATAAACATTAAATTTCAAAGTTTTAATTATAGAAAATATTTTACTGAATTACCTGGGCTAAAGTTTGACTTGGAAGATTATCTTCAACAGTATATAGGCCAAATTTATGCTCTGCTATACTTCTCATTTCCCTGTATGTTTGCCAATCATGCAAAGCTACTGTCGCCAGATCATAGAAAGTACGATCTAGGTATGATTCAACAAGGCCTAAAAATATTCATACCAACATAAATTTATGCCCAATGATCTATAAAGTATTAAGTTAGATGTGTTTTGTGATAATTTTGGTTAATGGTTATAAACTAACTTCTAACCTAACCCAACCCAACACATGTGCATTGAAAATGGCCTCAAACAAAAATCTGCTTTTTGAAAATGATGGTTCTATTCACCGATTGATTGTTTACAATGATCCAGATTTTGAGCATTGAGTGCTCGTCATCAGTTTAAGAAGTTACAAACATCCCTGTCCCTAACCCTAAATTTACCAAATCTAAACCCATCCCTAACCCTAACTTTACTTAACATAACCCAATCACTAACCCTATCTAACTTAACCCTTTCCCTTACCCAAAGTTTAAACTTGACCCTCCAACCCTATCTAACTTAACCTTGTCCCTAACCCTAAATTTACCAAATCTAAACCCATCCCTAACCCTAACTTTACTTAACCTAACCCCCTTCTTACCCTAACTTTACCTAACATAACCCAATCACTAACTCTATCTAACTTAACCCTTTCCCTTACCCAAAGTGTAAACTTGACCTTCCAACCCTATCTATCTTAACCCTGTCCCTAACCCTAAATTTACCAAATCTAAACCCATCCCTAACCCTAACTTTACCTAACATAACCCAATCACTAACTCTATCTAACTTAACCCTTTCCCTTACCCAAACTTTCAACTTGACCCTCCAACCCTATCTAACTTAACCCTGTCCCTAAACCTAAATTTACCAAACCTAAACCCATCCACAACCCTAACTTTACCTAACCTAACCTCACCCCTAACTCTACTACCTAAATCTTATCCCTACCTAATCTTATTTCTAACCCTACTACCTAACCTAACCTCAACCCTAACCCTAGCTCTACCTAATCTAACTATTCTTAATCTAAAATAACCAAAAATTTGTGCATCCAGGCCAAAAATATACCTATTTTAAAAGTGTTCCAAAATCAAAAATATATTCTATACGGATGAATGGTTTATACACTTTGTTGCAAAATACAAAAACATATGAGAATTCATTTATCTAACATTCAATATATGTTTTGTATAACTTATGCAGGAGTCCCCTGTGTTATAAAACTTTTCTATTTCAGGATAAAATAAAATTAAATGTTACCTTTAATGGAAGTGACCTGACCACAAACTATTAAAGGCATGACCCGAAGCAGGGATTTAAAATCTTTATTCTGAAGGAAAATAGTAGCATCCTCTTGCAAATGTGAATGAGCGTGGATTCTCAAAAATGTTTCTATTTCCTGACACAATGGTTTCACCACCTAAAACATTTTATGTAATTACTACTAAAAAATTGGATCAAGTAAAAAATTTTGTTTGGAAGGATGCTAAACGTACCACATTTTCAAAATGATGTTTTTGCTGAGTAAAAATGTTCAAATTTTCTTTATTGTTGACATCTTCATCAGAACGTAGTATGTACTGAAATATTTACAAAAGACATGTATTAAAAAAATTCAGTATGAAGTTTTTTTTAAAAGAATACTTACATCAATTCTTGAAAGACTAGCTTGTGATTCCATTAAATTTTTAAAATAAATAGGTAAAACATGACCTTCACTCATTATAAAATTGCAGTTTGTCGCTTCTTTTATGATATCATGCAATTTGCACATTATCTGCAACTTTTCCAGTAGCTTCAACAGTGTACTTTGACATTCTGAGAATATTGAATTGCTAGGTGTCATGAATGTCAGTATAAGTTTTACAAGAAGCAAAGTGTCCTCGGTGCAAGCACCGTAGAGCAATTTTTCAGCTAGGGCCAGTGCGGAGTAAGAATCAATTTGTACATCACGTGTACTTTTGTTCTTTATCGTGTCACGCTAAAACCAGAAAGAAAAATGTATTACTGAAATTATTTTAATTGGCGATATTAAGATTTACCTCTGATTTTATTATCAAAGTGAGTATTTGGATTAACATGCGTTGGATAATGTGGTTCAGTCTTTTTCCCAGGCTGATGTGGTGTCTTTGAAGAATCAAATTTATCACCTTCATCAACTCCATTAATTTACAAAGATTAAGTGCAACCATCTTGGTCATCGGTATTCCAAGATGACCGTGTAAATACGATATGTGATTAACTAAATATTTTATTTGAAATGCAGCCTCTATACCCTTAAAAAAGAAATTATAAAAACAATTGCACTAACAGTTTTTATCATATAACTATTTCTTTGTCAAATCAAAATTATACCTCTAATGTTAGCAGTGCTGATTCAATTTCATTTAACTTGTTAGCGATGGAATGTTTGGAAAATACGTTTTCCATTAACAGCGACCATCTCAATATCTAAAAGTCATAAATCATAAAAATGATCTGATAACTTTATAATGGATATTTATTTTTATTAATGTTAATAAATCAAGTTGAAAACACTAATTTTTGACTATATTACTCACTTGGATAGAATAAGTTTTTAAATTTTTTGGCAAATTAGATTCAGACTGTTCCAAAAACTTTGGCAGAATATTTTCTTGGACAGGACCTTTCAAACCCTGCTCTTTCAGCTTCAGTTCCAAATGTTTTCCAATAAAAATATAAGGCAGCCACAAAACTTCTCCGTGCAGCGAAATAACTACATGCTGCAAAAGAAAATACTAGAAATCAAATTATCAAAATGTAATTTCGTCTAATACCTTTTTACAAAGGTCGACAATCGATTTATGCACTTTTTTGTCGACTATTCCAAAAGTGTTTACGGAAAAGACAAAAATTGCAACAACCTTCGACAATGTTTTCATACAATTCACGTCATTCTCTTTAGAATTTTCTATCTCAGCAATTAAATTTCTTATGTAGCCATTTAAATTGGTTTTGAATGCCAAGCAATTGGCAAGTGCGTTTTTTCTATTGAAACGAGTGTTCAATGAAACCTGAAAACAATGTTTAAACAATTTAACTTCCATTTTTTTAATATAATTTAACGATTAATCACCTGGAATATATTCCCTCTCAGTAACTCCTGTTTTACCTCAGTTATTACTTTCCTAAGTGTTGCCGACTGAGCTGAATCACTGTACGAGTCTGATTCAACTGATGTTTTAACAGTTTTTTCAAGAATTTTAATATGTTCATCTATTCTATGTTCATTATGAGTTGTGAGCGTAACATCAAGAGTTATAAAAATGAGTAAAAGGTTGCCCAAAATAGAATAAACCTCCTGTAAAAAAAAAATTGCAAAAGATTAATTATATAATTAATATAGTAAGATTTCATGGTCTGTGAATCCTCGTAGTGTTGGTCGGTCAGACGTGTTTTGACATTTTGCCATCTTCAGCATTAGGCCTTTTGTGTGACACCAAGTTTTAATGGAAGATACCAGCAAAGCAAGGATAAAATGGCAAAAGCATAATGACCAAAGTAAAAAAAATTATGTTAAATAATCCATAAAGAAAATTTTTGTAAAGGTGATACCAGCATTGCTGAATAGGAAGTAAGCTTAGATTTTAATATATCACTTCTGACTTCCCACATCCAAACATACAAAGCCAAAGTGTCCTGAAATTAATGAAATTGAGCTTCAACCAAGCCCACCCTATGGTCCTGACATGGCTCCTTCAGACCATCACCAAAAAATGTCAGAATTACAGAATGATAACTCATGCCTCACACTCACATATTTTATCCACTTTACAGAAAAATGTCAAATCATTGATAAACAACCCAACCTTCACCCTAACCCTTTTACTACCTAGCCTAAACCTAACCATAACTTTAACCCTAACCTAGCCAGTTCTAACCAACCCAATGCATGAGTTTACCTTTTAGCAAAGCAATGAAAAATTTGTATCCATGTTAAAGTATTTCTAGAGGTAATACTCAGCTTTGTTAAACAGAAAGAAAATTTGGTTTCAATAATATGTCCTAAATTAATAACATCGAGCCCAAACAATTGGGTTTTGGTTAGAGATGGACAAAGGAATAAAGAACAAATACAAAGAATCAACTCTTCTAAAAGGACCATTCACTCAAGTAAGTTGTGGGTCAGTTCAGGCCACTGGAGGGGATGGATTGCATGACGATTCCCAACTCCCAGTTTGATTCTTTAATTCTTTTGACTTCGGTTCTCCAATTCATTTGATTCCCAACTCCCAGTTGGATTCTTTTGACTCTTCGGCTCTCCAATTCCNCTTTGGCTCTACATTTCCTTCAATTCCTTTGAATCGCAACTCCCAGTTGGATTCTTGGATTCTTTTTAGTCTTTGGCTCTCCAATTCCTTTGATTCCCAACTCCCAGTTGGATTCTTTTGACTCTTTAGCTCTCCAATTCCTTTTATTAGCAACTCCCAGTTTGATTCTTCGATTCTTTTGACTCTTTGGCTTTCCAATTACTTTGATTCCCAACTCCCAGTTTGATTCTTCGATTAGTATAGTTTAATATATTTATTTATATTCGAGAACAGTTTATACATTTTAATATTATACAAGCTGTAGAATATGTCAGAGGGCAAACAGATCACATATTGACTACATCTGCCTCAAAAAATTCTTGAAGACAATAGAGAGAGTTTTTAGTAGCCAATTTACAATCATTTTTTTAAGTCTTTTAGAGGGAGTGATGTTACATTATCAGGCCAGAGAGTTATACAATTTAATGCCAATTTTTCATAACTTCTACTGGGTGTTGTATTTGTACAGATCAGCAATGTTAATTTATTTTTATTTTTAGTCTTATAGTTATGTACATTATTTACAGCTTCATAATTTCCAACATTTTTCTTTATGTACATAAGATTTAAATATATATACAAGTTTATCACAATTAATATACTGTTGACACTAAATGATATTCTACAAGATTCACATTTTCCCATCAAGGTACTGCCTAACCCATCCTTAACTCTAATCCTATCTAACCTAACCTGATCTAACACATCCCAAACTCTAACCCAACCTAACCTAACCTAACCTGACCTGACCCATCCCTATCCCTACTCTAACTCTGCTTATAATCCAACCCTTGCCCACTCCCCAGTAATGCAAATTTGATGACACAAAAACAATTATATAAAAATGTGCATCCATGTTTAAAATAACAACTGACCAATAATTGAATATTAGAAGCACTTTGGGCATTGATCCATGGATACTCATAGGCACAAACAAACTGTTGGAGCAGATGGAAAAGGACAGTCCGACATCTATGAACGAAATTCAGTACATCAAGAAGGACCGGCAAGAATTCGCATATTTGGTGCTGTCCCTCCTCCACATCTATTTTATCGGTAGCTGTAAATTTTAAGAAATTCAAGATGAAAATATTCTCAAAATGCGCTACTTCCAAAATTACGTACTACCTTTTCCATACTGTAGTATTTTTGGCAAATAATTGTCAATAAGCTCATTCTGCAGATCTAGTATTTCCCGGCATGCAGCAGTAAACACGATTAGAACTTTATTGTAGACTTTATTATCAGTGTCCACTTTTTCAAATACGCTGGAATGTTCCTTACACAATATCTGAAAACAATAAAAACTTATATTTATACTTTTTTTTTTACTACAAAACAATATAAGAATAACCGTAACAACCTGCACTGAGAGGGGATCAATCAGCTCGCTATGTTGGTATTCCAATTTCTTTTTCAAATTGCAAAAACTTATAGATACATTTTCGAGAAATTGTCCATAGCTTACAAGCACCATTTGTCCAGCTTGTTCTGCAAAATATGATTATTAGTTTTACAAATTGAACATAAATATATATATATACATGTGTGTGTGTGTGTGTGTGTGTGTGTGTGTGTGTGCATGTGCGTGTGCGCGTTGCGCGTGTGTGTGTGTGTGTAGTTATGGAGTAACCAGTTGCCCCTCAAACACATCAGCAAAGTCCAAGCAGGACCTGATCCCCCCCCCCGTTCATCTTAATCAGCATTTCTTTAAGAAGAAAAAAAAGTATAAAAACCTAAATATCCAGGCCTTACTTGTGCGATAGCCTTCTGCCTGTCACTCTGTCAGTTTAAACTTTAACATTGTACAGTTTTGACAATAAAGTTTTTTTTTAAGTCTTCTTCGAGCGATTTCTTAACTTATATAAATAATATTCTCAATGAATCATACTATTTGATTGGGAAGCACTAAAAGCAACAACCTCATCAATAGTAAAGTCCATAGCCATTTGGAATTGTACCAAGGGGAAAATTACTCTTGTTGAATACACAGGCCAGAAGATTAGGATTAAGATTAGAGTTGGGGATGACCTCGACGACCTGCGTACCATGACCTAGTTTATTTTGCATCTCAATTGTTTCAAGGAGCTCCCCATTAAGCTTAAGACTTCTTTTTTCAAGGATGTGTGTATCCTTCAGATCCGGGCTTTTCTGCTTAGTGTACCTTAGTGTCTTTGCACCAACAGAGGGCATGTTCCGCTTCTTCTTCTTCAGGCAACTGCACAGGCTATCTTCTGCTGCTCTGAGTCTATAAGCCTCCTGAGTCTGCAGTGTCCAATTACCAGTGCAACTATTATTCCAGTCCTAATAAGTCCTAGATTTAGTAGTTCTGCTGTATTGCTGCGATGCCTCTGTCCTGGCTACATTTCCATTGAATTTACTTATTTTTAATCCATTGCCAAATGAATCCACGTTTTTAGCAACCTGATGTGTCACAAAAGGGCTTTGGGATGATAGGTCCTGATTAAACTTTTCTTGCCCCATTTATCAACCTCCTCATTGCCCTTTTGCCTTGGTACCAAGACAAGGGTAATTTTGTTGTTTTCCCAAATGTCTGACAGGGTGCTAATGCAATCCTCAACGATTCTGGACTTTACTACTGACGTTATAATTGCCCTCAGTGTCTCCTAGATGTCCAGGTAGATGGCTATTTTTCTGTTAACGATACCTAGCCTTTTAATGTCCTTGGCACAGTGTTCAGTAGCCACAGTCTCTGCTTGAAGGAGAGTAGCATATTGTCGAAGGCTTATGTGAATTTTAGTCCTTCCATAAATACCAGCTCCTGACCCAAACCCAGTTTTAGAGCCACTGTAAACCAATTAAGGGCCAGGTATTCTAATTTAATTTAATTTTTTTGTGTGTGTGAATTTTGAATTTAGAGGAGCAATGCAACCTCAGACCAAAGCATCCTCCGAACCTTATCTGCCTGAAGCTCCCCCTGAACCTTTGTTATGCAAGTGAACTATTGCAGCCTGTCCCTGCAGTAACCTATGAATTCCTCTGGTCACTCCCTGGATAAAGTCTGTGTCAATAAGGTTGGATAGAAAGTATGGCCCTTGGGCAATGGTTCGAAGGATTTCAGACTGGATACTTTGTTCATTGGAACGTTTGGTCGAACCCCACATTTTAATTCCATCCGGAAGTATGTCAGATTTTGAGTTGTAAAGGATTCAAGGAGAGTAATAAGCCAGAGTGTGAAGGTAATTTGCTGGGATTTCGTTGAGTATGATCCTCCATTTTTTGAACCTTTCTTACAAGGAGGAGAAATGGCCCTGGAGGTTTCTGAAGGCCATTGGGTCTGGGTTTGGCTGAAAGGACGACAGTATTATCTGCATATGTGACGAGCACTGAAAGGTGTGATTGGGATGAGAGTCCAGGTTATATGAAGATGTCTGTATCGACCTTAAACAGTTTCAAGAATAAATAGGGTTTTAAGGTCTGTGGGGATAAGGTTAGATAGGAAGTATGGGCAATGGTTTAACGGATTTTGGACTGGATTCTTTGTTCATTGGAACATTTGGTCGAACTCCACATTTCAATTCAATCCAGATTGGTTGAAGTTTGTCAGTTTTTGAGTTGTAGTGGATCATAGGAGAGTAATAAGGCAGAGAGTGAAAGTAATTTGCTGGGATTTCATTGAGACTGATTCTCCATTTTTTGAACCTTTCTTACAAAGAGGAAAGATGGTCCTGGAGGTTTGTCAAGGCCACTACAGTGTCTGCAGTATGACGGAACTGCAAATGTAAGCAGGACTGAAAGCCATCGTTTTGGGTTTCATAGTGAATCTCAATCTGTCATCAAGTTGTGTTTTTAGTTTATATCTGTTCAGGTATATTCTTTTGAGTCAAGTGTGGGAAGTTTGGTCAAATTTAAGTCCCAAACAGCGGACGGTTACAGGACGAGGAACAGAGTGATACAGTGGAGCTGATCTTCACTTTATTGAACCATTATTGCAAACAGGTGTCCTGGAGTTATCTGAAACCCACTGGGTCTCGGTCAACTTACTTCGTAACCCAGACGACATTTCACAACACTTATACAAAGAATGAAATTGATAAATTGTAATTAAATTGTTAAATTTGCCTTGCAATAGTTGACCATGGTGGAAAGTGTTTTGATAGTTTAGCTTTTTATTAATTAGGCCGAGAAAATTTCCTTTTTAGCTCATTAACAACTTAATTTTCAACGTTACCTAAAGCTTCCATATTTCAAGGGATCCTGGTCGTTTTTCCCACCGGGAGAGGTCTGCATCAGAATTAAATTGGCCTGTTAACAAATTGTCAAATTTGTGTTTACAACGGCAAAGGGCAGCGACGTCTGTTATCAGCCGAGCCGATCATAAGCGACATTGTGCGATACTGCGATTACAGAACCCCCGGCTGACTCAAACGTTGAATAAATCACGTCATTGTTTCTAACTTTAAGAGGGTTCTGATAGCCGTTTCAAAACAGAAAATCCTAACTTTCTTCTTTATTTCGGCTTTATTCACAATTTTTCTGTAAACATTTCCAAAAATTTTATTCAGAAATCGTGAGATGCGGTCTGGTGTGATGAAGGTTTCAGAAAAACGTTTTCTTTATCGTGACGACGTTTCGATCTTTATTGAGATCTTTGAGGTGAAAAGAGCCGACGAAGGGACTATACCGACTTCCTTCCCCAACCCCTTCAAAATCCAACGTATATAAACATAAAACAGCAATATCTCACTGGCACATTCAACACAACACGCAAGAATGGCACAATTACACAGAAGACAAACACTTTGAGTGAGTAGAAATACTTTGATTGAATATAAAAAATATATTTTTTACATTGTATAAATTCACTTTTTTCCACATCCTACATGTGTTTGTTAAATTTAAACAATGTTTGTAAATCCCAGGCCCTGAAGATGATCTCAATAAAGATCGAAACGTTGGCACGATAAAGAAAATGTTTTTCTGAAACCTATATCACACCAGACCGCATCTCACGATTTCTGATAATCATCTACTAATGGTCACTAATCACCACATATTTCCAAAATTCTAATTACATTGAATATAGGCCACATTCGAAACGAGACGTAAATAAAGCGATATTTCTCTAATTGATATCAACCTTAATATTAAATGTATAGTATTTAGTGACCGTTAATTAATTATTATTTGGATATCGTGAGATGCGGTCTTGTGTGATGTAGATTTAGAAAAATATTTCCTTTATAGTGCCGGCGTTTCGATCATTATTTAGATCATCTTCAAGGCCTGGGGTTTATAAACATTGTTTGTGTACAAACACATTTTTATAAACCCCATATTAGGAGATACAAATACATTTAATATGTGAAAATGAATTAATACAATGATGTACGCAATATAGAAATTTTAGGTTCATTCAAATATTTTGAAGTATTTATGTCAACCCCGAGGGTTGATATAACCTCTGCTGTTGCGAACCCTCGTAAAAAAAATTTAAAAAAATAGCACCACAATTTATGCCCTGAAAATGACCTAAATAATAGTCGAAAAGTGGTCAAAAAATGAAAAATGTGTTTTTCTAAACTATCTTATTCTTGACCGCTCTTCACGACTCCAACAAATTATTAAACAACCGGTCACTAATAAAATACATAAAAAACCAAATGATTCTTGTATTAATTCGTTGTTTTTTAACAATATTAAATAATTATTTTATATACCAATTATTGAATAGTTAAAAATAGAATGTAGATCCTTGCTGTGACGTCACGGAATTCTAAGACTGGCGTCCAAATCGTGGGATCAATTGAGATTCGGAGTCGGGGGCGTGATTAAATTATGAATTAAGAGAGTTTATTCGGAGAGAATTAATGTTCACGGAAAGAAATCCGATCTGATGAGGGATTAATTTGAAAAAGAAAAAAAATCGAATCTGTTTTGATGTTTCGTGTTGATTTATAGATCGCGTGTATCATCATGTCCTTTGTGTACAACCTATCCATCGTTTCGGGTCGGGACAAATTTCCAGTCAAACAGAAAGGCTGAGGCAGGATGGATTTCTCCGGGTTTCGCTCGATCTCCGTGAACAGAAATGTGCCAGGATAGAAAGAGAGCCGGTTTTAGAATCCTTTTCAAATCGGTTTCGTGATAACAAAACAAAAAAAAATAGACGAGGGACAGGCGTCGTCTCACGGGCCGGGCTTTTGTCGAAATATCGTCGAAATGTTATCGCCCGATGTGAAACACCCTCGGAACTTGTCGAAGACGGAACAGCACCAATTCAAGTCGTTTCGTAGTCTCGTGTTAAAGTGATCGTTTTCGTCCAATTCTTCGGCCGGATGGTCTTTGTCGTCTTTTATTTTTTAAAAAAGACGGAAAACAGATCTTCGTCCGAAAATGGCTTCGAACGTCAATCTGACGAAAAATATTTGCCTGAACGCCAAGCAGAATGAGGAGGGCATCCACATCGCCAATTACGAACCTCTGGACAAGACGTGCAACACCCTCAAGGTGATACACATAGCATATCGTTTCATTATATTATCTTTTTTTATACAGACGCAACGAAACCTGGTCAAAAACTCATTTTATACAATGATAAATGAACGAAAATCAAGAATACTCTCGCCTGGACAATATTTTTCTTTAGATATTTCACCGGAAACGTTGTATTTATTATCTCTTCCCAAGGGGAATTCAGATAGATCAAGTTTGACAACAAACAACCTAACAATCTAATTTTTAAACATTAAACAACCAAAACATAAACAAGCAAGGAGTAGAAAAGAACCAGTTAAGGCTATCAAACCACGCAAAGGTTTATTTACAAAAATACAAAATCATGATGTACAGTCATCAGCAGGTCAAAACTGACTCTTCTGTGGCATAAGTTGTAAATTATTGTACTTCAGTAATTAGCGATCATCGTATACCCTGCAACTCAGCTAGTATGGGCAGACCAGGATGATCTCAGACTGTTAGTTATCAGTTTATGGTCTTTCTTGCCCGTCTATCTTACTTGGTTTCTCCTGTCGAACAGATTTCTGGCGTTTTGCCATTTTCTGTACTGGGTTTGTGTCAAAACATCGAGGAGAGTGGTCTTGTTTCACCCTGCTTATAACCCTGACTGACCTCTGAAGACGACAAAACATTGATACATTCATCTTACAGAAGATAAGCAAACCAGATGAGGTCATAAAGACCATTTTTCTCTTGAAAAGTTTTCTGAATGTATTATTCCATCCCTAACTAACAAAGAATTCTAGTCAAACGTTAATCTATTATAATATACAAAATCGTGAAGAAAAGTCAACACTAGGTCTAAACAGAATCTTCTGTGGCATAAGTTGTAAATTATTGTTCTTCAGTAATTAATTAGCGATCATCATATATCCTGCAACTCAGTGAGAATGGGCAGACCAGGATGATCTCAGACTGTTAATTATCAGTTTACGGTCTTTCTTGCCCGTCTATCTTACTTGGTTTCTCCTGTCGAACAGATTTCTGGCGTTTTGCCATTTTCTGTACTGGGTTTGTGTCAAAACATCGAGGAGAGTGGTCTTGTCTCACCCTGCTTATAACCCTGACTGACCACTGAAGATGACAAAATGTTGATACGTTCATCTTACGGAAGATAAGCAAACCAGATGAGGTCATAAAGTAAGACCATTTTTCTCTTGAAAAGTTTTCTGAATGTATTATTCCATCCATAACTAACAAAGAATTCTAGTCAAACGTTAATCTATTAAAATATACAAAATCGTGAAGAAAAGTCAACACCAGGTCTAAATCAAATCTTCGGGGCACCGGTGGTTTAGGCGTTGACACGGCGCTCATCACTGTAAGGTCAAGGTCCCGGGTTCGAATCCAGAGCGGCCCTGCATTCGAACCCGACATACTTACAAATGGGTTTTTTTTTTTTCAAAAATATCGGCACCCTGAGGGTTTATATGACCTCTGCTGTTGCGAACCCTCGTTTAAACCCCCCCTCAAAAAAAAAAAAAAAAAAAAACCGAATCTTCTGTGGTATGTTGTAAATTATTGTACTTCAGTAATTACCGATCATCTTACACTCTGTGAAATGCTGTCTGATTTAGCGAGGATGGTTAGACCAGGATAGTCTCAGATTGTAAATTATTGATTTACAAACTTTCTTGCGAAAAAGAATTAGAAAAGATCCAGTTGAGGTCATCAAACAACACAACCGTCTTTATTTTACTTTGGAAGTCTTTCAGAATACATTATTCTAACAATATAATTGCAAAACAGAAGTTCAATTTAAACATTAAAGGTGAACTTTAATCAATTTACAAATTCAATATTGTGAAGGAAAGTTATCAGCAGGTCTAAACTGAAGTGTGTGTGTGTGGCATAAAGTTGTAAATTATTCTAATTCTGTCATTACCAACACTTTTGGAGGAGGATAAAGCCAAGGGCTGAAGGATAAACAGGCCTTAATGAAACTTTGGGATCTGATTAAATAAATTTTTATTTGTACATGTGCTCAACAATGTATATAATAATTTTAGAATGTAGGGAAAGTGACGTTTCACTATGGCTCCCTACTGTTTACACTAATCATTTTTATATACAAATTGGTAAGAGAAATTCCATAATAGTTTGTGGGAAAACATTTATGTTCAAAAAAACCACAAGCAGAGGGATGAAGTCTGTATATAGAATTAAATAATGCATACAAAAAGTATAGATCTGATAACCTAACCCAGACATTGGAGACAACGTTGTTTTGGTACTAGGGCAGAGGTGCAATGAGAAAGTGATAAAAATTGGCCAAGGAAAATTCCATCGTGACACTTATTGGCCCTGAACCCTCTTGCGGAATATCAAATTGCCAAAAATGTAAATCCATTAGACAAAGGTTAAGTTTAATGGGATTGTATTCTAAGACAGATAAGTAAAAGCTCAATAAAAGTTCATTGTACCAACCTTAGGGAACGTGCTAGGACTAGAATGATAGTAGGATGACTTACTGGCCTATATTTCCAAGACCAGAAGTTTGCACAAAGTTTTGCGATCTGGTAACGAAGAGCTCTAGACGATAATGTCGGGACTGTGCAATAGAACAATATTGGTCGTGGTGTGCAAGGATGTAAAAAAGCCAACTTCTTTTAATCATACACTTCAGTTTAGACTGTTTTATTTGTGAACATGACAAGATAAGTTAATGAAAACTATCGCCAGACAATAAGGATATTGTTACTTTAGTAATTAGTAAATTTATTAAATTTAAGGTTGAATAATAGTAGGAAAAAAATCAAATTGAATTTCTGTGTTTCAGAGAAACCCCAAAATGGAATTGAGCAAGGCTGACTTGTTGAAATTGCTCAGTTATCTTGAAGGAGAGCTACAGGCCAGAGATATTGTGATTGCAACGTTGAAGGTATTTTTTCATTTGATCCTTTTTTTTTTAATCAATTCAACAATTTTAATTTTTTCGCTTTCCTTGTCAGTGTGAAAAAATGAAATACATGCTAAATCAAGGACAGTATAAGTCGTCTCTTAGCGACCCACTATCAGCTCTCCACCGAGATGGATTCGCTGCACCTAGTCATTCGTTAGACCAAACCGAAATGAACATCGCCGAACACCAACGTAATTATTTGGAAAATTTGGTATTACAACATCGTAAGGCTCAAATTCGTATGGCCAATATTTTAAAAGATGCTGAATTACACCATAGAAAGGTGAGTTTTGCTTTTTTTTTCCCCTCAGTAAATTATAATAGTTTTTGTTATTAATGTGAAACACTTAGTCTTATTCTACTGAAAACCCAATAAACTATAATTTCAGTTTTGTAAGTTGAAATTTGCTCCCGTTTAGGTCATCGAAGAGTTAATCATGGAAAAAAAGAAACATGAACACGACACAGCACAAGGGGATGATATCACGTATGGATTAGAAAAGGAAAGGACTCGCCTTAAACAGGTATGAAAATTTGTATCCATCGATAATTTACAGCATTTTTTGTTCATCGAATTGGATGTATGTAGTAGTATTTAGTGGTATCCGGTTGAGACGACCCCAGATTTATGGCAACCCTTGCCCTTAAGGGGAACTTTCCCTTAATAAATAATAAATTTCTTATTGACTGGGGCTATTCGATTGTCACATTTCTACACTCTCCAGAATTTTGGAATCGTTGCTTCTTACTGCAGCTGGTGAGCTGTCAGATTTATGGCCTAGCATAAAAAAGTACACAATCCCTTATCTTACATGTTCTTTTGTATCTGTATTTTATTTGTTATCCTGTATGTCCAATTTATTTGCCTTTGCATTCTCATGTTATGGTGTAAATGTTAAAGTTTTTAAATAAAATTGTTATTTTTGTTATGATTGCTATGGTATTACTTTTGTCTTCTCTTGTAATTCATTTTTCCATAGTTTGTGTTTTTTAAATGAGTTTTTCGTCATTTTGTGTGTATGATTATTTTTTTATTATATTTGCTGCTGATAAATAATTTTGCTAACTTGTGTATTTTCGTATAAAATTTTTTTATATATTTTAATGGTACATGCGTTGTTAAAAAGCTACGTTCCTCTTCTTTCAAATTGTCTGTTTGTCGTTAAAATCCTTTTAGCCATTTTTGAATTGTAGCCCTTTCAGTCAGATTTTTCCGATAATGGCTTCTTAAAAATTTGAAAACTTTTAGGGGTCAAAAAATTGATAAATATTGGAGTCTCTAGATGTGCTCAAATGAAATTTAATATTAGTTCACTGAAAAAAAAAAAAAAAATTATGACCTAGTTTACTTGAAAAATATTTGGTTTTTAGAAATGGTTATTGATATACTTTGATGGCTTATACTACCTTTTTATTGCAATGTACATAAAAATGCTGTAAAATGATTTATTCACATAGTTGATTTGAAGCAAGCAGAATGCTGAAATAAAAATATTAAAAATAAAAAAATTTCCACTAAAAAAAAAAAAAAAATTGTGAAATCAGGGCCTATTCACAAGAAGTGGCAGATATGTGTATGATAGTTTCGAGTGTAGAATCACCAAAAAAAGTTTGATCCAATTCCATGACCCACCAACCTGGTCATACCCTTGTTAATAGTTTTCTAATTGCATTTGTGATTTTTTTTATTGTTCCAATGTCTTTCCCGTACCGGTTTGTACTTGTACTGACTTTTGGAAAAATTGTCAACATCAGAGTCCGTATTGTATAATAACTGGTGGATTTTTCCTTTTAATAGGACTTGGAAATGGAACGACAGGCGAAGAAGAAGCTTGAGAAGGATTTAAAGAAAATTTCAGACGTTTCAGACGAAGATAAAAGCAGGCAAAAGCAAATTGTCTTACTTTTACTGGCTGACAGAAAAAAAATAGTCATGAAATATATCGAGGAACGAAAGCGGTCTGAAGATCTTGCGCAGGTATATAAATTTGGTCTATACACTCAAACTTCCCATAAGTGAACACCACTCCAGAATGGGATTTTTTCTGTTTATTAGAAGATTATGTTTTAAAATTTATTTTTATTGTGTGGAGTAAAATTATTTTTATAAATAGATTTTGTCTGAGGAGAAAAGCCGTATAGATTCAATGGCTGAAGGGTTGGAGGAAGAAAGTAAAAAATCTCTTCAAATGGAAGCAGAATTAGAGAAACAGTTAGCTTTGTTTGACACGGAAAGTCAAATTTTAAGATCCAATCTGCTTAGAGAGGAGAAAAGGTTTGAACAATTTTATTTTCCAAATTAATCCATGATAAAAAAAAGTTTAAAAAACACTTGATTTTGTTAAACAGAGTGAAAGAATTGGAGGCTGAACTAGAAAAAACTCAAAATGAAGTGGCCATGTTAGAAAAACAACTGGCGGAAATTCATCAACTAGCAGTACAAGGTAATTTAGGATCAATACTGGGACGAACTGGCGTTCAACAAACCATGGCCAGGCATCCATCACAAGGTATGGATCTCTAATCACAGATCCGTAGCGGTTCTTTGAAATTAATCTGTAGGATCCATTGAATTGTTTTTTATGCGCTAGTCATGGCAATTTTACGCTTATGTTTAATGTTCATTTCGGGGATTAAATTATTTTGTATTTATTTATAGGCTGGCCTGAAGGTAATTCTACACTTCCGCTTCAAACGAATACGGCGATGAGCAGCAGTGTCGCAAAAGTTGTGCAACCGACTGCTACGGTCTCAAGTGTCCCAGTTTCCGGTCCAAGTAAGTAACCAAGTTGAACATTGTATTCAATTCATTTGTATTATCAATGAATACATTTTTTTGGTGATATTAGGTCAAAAATATTATACACTTATCTAATCGTGTTTTTCAAATATATTTGCCAATTGGCCTTAGGAGCCAGGGTAAATAATAGTCTTAAGTAATTTTCATAATTTTGTTTACTATGGTTTACTGCTTTTGTTGTCATTTTATTTCAAAGTCATTATATATATATATCAGTCAATTTGCTTTTCTTAGGATAAGAAAATAATATGCAGGGTAGTATAAAATAAGACTAGATATATAAAAAGTCACAAAAAGGAAAAGACGCTTCCAGTAAAGTAAGTTAAAAAACTTGTTTAAAAAGTTGCTTGCAAAATTTAAAGCATCCTTTAAAGCTGTTAATAAATACAATTTTGTATACCAAACCAAAAAAAAAATTCTTTTGGTTGGATTAGCATTTTATTCTCTGATGTCTGGTGTTCTGCATCTTTTTTCTGAAAAAAAAATCTTCTTATTCTCCTCGGATTTTATCGTAATTCAACATTAATACAACTAATTAAGGTTTTTAGTTGAGATAAAAAAGTCAATGGCACGAGCGTGATTCCACGATCTTCGGCTAGATACGCCGCTGCTCTAACCACTTGAGCTATCATGACTTTGATCCACTCAGACACTAACTTCCCATCTCAACCCCACCTTTTGAATTTTCCCTCCTTTTTGCAATTTTTCAAATGTTTATCTCATCTAAAAACCTTAATTAATTGGTGTATATTAATTGGTCAAGCGGACCACGAAATTAGTGAATTTAATGAATTAAAATGAAGTATACTTCACTAAAGCTCTCCATGGCCATTTCATTTGTCGCCGAGAATCCAATCCGATTACATGACATTTGAAAAATGGCAAAAACGAGGGAAAATTCAAAAAGGTGGGGTTGAGATGGGAAGTTAGTGTCCGAGTGGATCGAGGTCACGATAGCTCAAGTGGTAGAGCAGCGGCGTATCAAGCCGAACGTCGTGGGTTCGAATCCCGCTTGTGCCATTGACTTTTTTATCTCAACTAAAAACCTTAATTAATTATAATATATTAATTGGTCAAGTGAACTATGAAATTAGTGAAGTTAATACAACTGTTTGCAAAGCTTAATTTCTCTATGGGCTAGCTGCCAAGTACAATTTCGACGAAGTGACAAAGTGATTAGCAAATTAGGTTGAAATATTTTTTTTAGCAAGAAACAAAATTGATATTTGTTTTACCCACTCTAAATAACCCATGAATGTAACTTTTTGGACAAAAAATTATAAATATTCATTAACATAAAAATAATACAAAATACTGATTAAAAAAACCACATGGAAAAGTAAAAAAAAATTATAAATATAAAAAAGGCAATAAGTCTTTGAAAAAATCCATGTTACACAATAAAAATTATAATATAAAAACCTTCAATATGTGAATAACCTAGGAAAAAATTTAACACAGGATAATCTAGATCAAAAAATGGAAAAGGGAATCCTTACTATAGTTTAAAAAAATTCCCTCCCAGATGCTTCCAATTGGTAGAAAATCACAAAAATTGTGATAACTAAATTATGATATGATAATGATGAATTTAATTGTATTTGTTATTAACTTAATGGCTGACAGTTTGCATATATCCATTTTTTGGCAATAACTCAGATATGATTTCAACCTAATATCAACAAAAAAGTTTCATAAAAAAACAAAATCCGTGGTTTTTGATTCTATGTTAGTAAGAATAATAATTTTTTTTAAGCTACTGGAGTTGCACGGAGCATTTCACCAGGACATGGTCTTAGAAGCGTGCCGTACAGCCATTTACAGTCCACATTACCAGCTAAGGTATATAAAACATATTCATACATGCATGCTTTGTACGTAATATTTTTTTATTTTTTTCAGGTGGAAAAGCGCCTTATTGGGAATAACGTTTTGCCAGCAAACACAAAGCCGAATGTGCCTCTGAACCCTAAGACAAGTCACACATTGGCATCAGCGAACGGCAATCCTGACAAGAAACAGCCTCTGTCTCGGGGAGTGCCTCCACCAATTCCACCGAACAAACCCGTCGTTCCGCCCAAAAAGGATTCAGTACTTATAGGCCGAAGGACGGATATCAACACTCCGGTAAATATGGATATATCGAAGTATAAGGAAGCCAAATCACAATTGGCCGTAGAAGGACAGGATCAACAGGCAGACATAGATCCCGGTGAAACTTATCAAAATCTTCCTTCGTCATCTCAATCAGGCGTGGTTTGATCCTTTAATATTTTCAATAATTTCAATCTGAATAGCAGTTTGAAGAGTGTAAGTTCATGAGTGAGTTCTAGTTCAAGGAAGTAAGTTAGTTTGAGTTTAAGTCATGAATTAATTATAATATTAAGTGAGTGTGATTTTTTTTATCTTAAAAAATTAATTATTCGCGAAGTATAATTTTTTCCTTAAATAGTTTACTTAATTTTTATTCGCTTTATACTTAATTGAGCTGGTCATACAGGCAAACGTTTTAATTTCTCGTTTAGGTAAGACCTTGCTTAAATAGCTTTGATCTCCAAAATACAAGTTCTAATTATTCTGGTTTAATAGTTCATAAGAAAAAAGAAAAATGTTAATTTTATGTTGTGGCGTTTTGTTTATAATTCTAATTTCGATTAATTGTAAACCCATGTAAACTTTTCTGTCAAAACCTTAAAAATAACACATTACGTAGAATTTTGAAGGTAATTTATGTAGGGTAGAATTTTCCCCCAGACTATTCACTTGACATGGTTGATAATTTTTACAAGGATTATTATAATCATGAAACTCTTTGAATGTCTATCACGACTTGATTGTGCTGGGTTTGTCCCTAGAACAAAATTTACGTCGTTCAGAGGGTGAATGGCGTGAACAGGCCTGCGATTGCACATCCTCAAAAAATGATCGTCAGATCTCGACAAACGGGTATAACATTGAATATATTTTTAAACTTAATAGCTGTTGCTGGGGAAAACAATGATTCTTTTGTAGTCCGATTTATCAACTCCGGCCCATTGTTAATATCCTAGTTGAGAGAATTATTATCGAAATTTCTTAACAAGTAAATGCAAAAATTAGAAAAAAAAAGATTCTGTTGAATATTAATTAATATTTATGAAAGGTATTGGTCTAGATAAAAAAGTCAGTGTCACTAGCGAGATTCGAATCCACGACCTTAAGCTAAATACATCGCTGCTCTACCACTTGAGCTTTTGTGACTTCGATCCGCTCAGACACCAACTTCCCATCTCAACCTCACCTCTTGAATTTTCCCTCCTTGTTGCCATTTTTCATAAATATTAATTAATTGAAAAATGTTAATTGATCAATTGGACCACGAAAACTAGTGAATTTAATAAGTTAAAATGAAGTATATTTTCACTAAAGCTCTCCGTGGCCATTTCTTTTGTCGCCGAGAATCAAATAGATTACATGGCATTTGAAAAATGGCAAAAAGGAGGAAAAATTGAAGAGGTGAGGTTGAGATGGGAAGTTGGTGTTCGAGCGGATCGAAGTCATGATAGCTCAAGTGGTAGAGCAGCGGCGTATTTAGCCGAAGATCGTGGGTTCGAATTCCGCTCATGAAGCTGACTTTTTTTAACTCGACCAATACCTTTCATAAATATTAATAAATTGAAAAATGTTAATTGGTCAATCGGACCACGAACTGTAATGGATTCTGTTGAATGTGTTAATTTAAAAAAAATGTAAAAAACAAGTGAGGCAAATTTATGAATACAACTTAATTTTTCTGTTTTCGTACACAATAAATATTTTTCTATTTAACTTTGGCTCTAGATGTATTAATTGTTGTGTCCTTTTCATATAAAAAAGGTCCCAGAAGACCCTTGGGTTATCGTATCAGTCGTATTCATCAAGCCTGGCAATCTGGCATCATGTAAGCTGAATTCGAGGCTCTCAAGTTCTCCAGAATTACCTTTTCATATTTTTAGTATTAGGTAGTAGGCCTGGACAGCTGGTCGAACTTAAATTTCAAACCATAATTACAGTTTCCTACTAATTCCATCCTGTCTAATTTCTAGTCTTAAACTACGTATAATTGTTAATAACTTTACTGTGTTTTTTTTCCAAACTGTCCTGATTTTAATTTCTTAACTAAGAAGAATTCTAAGAAATTTCTTGTAATTTGTTATTAATCAGAAAGATTTTACACCAAAACATTTTCAGAGTGTATTTCGAGGTCAGAGCTCGCTATCTATCTTATATTTTGCAAATAGTCGGATTCCCTGATCATGATGAAAGCCTGGCTCCTCTTGATTTCAGCTGGAACTACAGCTCTTGAAAGTTAAAAAGGCAGACCTCTTGATTTTCAGCTTCATCGCTGGTATGATGTAAGTCAGAAATGTACTACCTTTTCTTTTGCAATTTTAAGTATTGGGCAGGACAACTATGAAAGCTTTTTCAATTTTTAAAAATAGGACTGCATATTTACTCGAGTTTCTTAAGCTCTCGGCCTCTTACTTTTTCCCTCCTAATTTATGGTTGACTCAATGATTGTTAATAATAATTTAATTTTTTTAAAACAATGTCTTGACTTAATTTTTAACTAAATACAAAAATTTTGTTCTGATGATAATTTTTATATAATCGGAAAGATTTTAAAGTCAAAACAAAAATTTTCAGAATGAATTTGGGCATCACATGTCATTTGTACAGATTTCTGGTACAAGGACTTTTATATATAATTGTTTATAATAATTTATTGTTGCCTTTTTCAAACACTGACTTAGAATTCATTTTTTAACTTATTTTATATATATATTTTACAGCCGAAACTAGACAGGTATATTGGGATTTTCATTACTGGTACAAAGGATGGCAGAATTGCATCTTTTCTTTTCTTGTTTCAGTATTTGTAGGACAGGTGGCCGAAAACTTTTTTTATTTTAAACAATAGGGCGACTACAGACTTTTGAGAGGACTTTAGATGTGATAGGTGGACAACGTGGCCAAGATTACAATGATTTTCAGGCCTGGTTCTGATCAATTTTGACAAAAAGTTCAATTTTCTATTGAATAGGATAGAACGATTGCAAATTTACTCTGAGTTTCTTAAGCTCGAGGCCTCTTACTTTTTTCATCCTGTCTAATTCTGCTCTTAGGCTATGATGTATAATGGTTAACATTTTTTTTTCAAACATTGACCTGGTCTTTTGTTAATTTGATATAAAAAATTTTGTTCTTATGATAATTTCCTATAGTCGGAAAGATTTTTAGAATCAATTTGGCCATCACAGGTCATTTCTGCATATATATGTACAAATGTCTATAGAGGCTTTTGTTGAACTGCTTAGCCATGCACATAAATGGCCTGGTTCCGATTGAGGATTGCCGATTTTCAATTTCATTGATGGTATGAATGACGACACGAGCTTTTTTTTTCCCAATTCGGTCATCTTTTCCACTTCTTGGGAACCTATGAGATATATCAGTTTGATTAATTTTTCTATTTCATTGAGACATCAAGCTTTCAGCTTTTAATGTTTATCTTTGTTAATCATTTCGGCATATTTAAAAGGCTGTTTTAATAAGTTTATTAAAACTTTTAGGACGAGTCATTGCCAGAAATTTCCTTGTAATACATTGTAAAAAAATACACAAAAAAAGTAATAATAATGAAAGCTTAAGACTTAAAAAATATACACAATAATAATTATAGTAATAAAATTGTAGTTATAGGTTCAAGAATATTTTTTTAATGTCTACGTTATAGAGAGTAGAATGTATGTTTATGTGACGTGTGCTCATAAACAGATTTTTAAAAAATTCCTTTTCTTTTTTCTCTAATCTGTCTGTTTCTCAGAGTTCTTGAGTTCTTTACAATTCTTTTTTAAGCATCAAATTGTTTTTAATTTCAAGTTCTCCTAGTCTTAATATTAATAATGTTATAGACAAAAATCCAGTTTAACATCTAGTTTGGACTCATAGTCATTAAAAAGTTTAAACATTGAAAAAATTCTCACAACTTAAAAATTTAATATACTATTAGGACAGTGCTGCCTTGGTAACAATAGGGCATCCTGGAATAGGCTAAGTTCCTAAGAAGACTATCTTTTTCACCTTTCCTCCCTAACCATCCCTTTTTAATTATTCTTTTTCCATTTTCTTCTGTTTTTCACTCTTCCATTGTCTCGTTTTTTAACTCTTCTTCCTTATTCATTTTCTTCTATTTTTTTCTCCCTTCTTTAGCCTGGGTAATATTCTAACTATTCAAGATCCACCTTTTTCTGAATTTTTAAAAAATATTTCCTTCACTCTTTGGAGCTAACAGACACTAAACAGTTTGGTTTAAAGGCACAATCTGGCTACTTAAATGCCCTACCCTATAGAATTTTTTTTTTTTTTTTTTTTAACCTACTTCCAAATAATGAACGGACAACAAAGAAAATATTGAAACAATTACAGGGATAGACAATTTATTCCTTATGAAAAGTACAAATTTTTCTATGTCCATAGTTTAGAATGCTTTAACATTATTGTGCTATATCATGAAAAATTTAGGAGTTGAGCTTGTTTATGTTTCTCGTGTTGATTGAAAAATAAAATGTTTACAAAAAAAAAAAAAAAAAAAAAAAAAGAACCAGTAGAAATGAGAATTATTTTGGTATGAATTCTTCAATGATCGACAGTAGTGCTTACTTACTTTCTTTGCCTTCGGTCCATTTATTTTTACAACTATACTCGCATGATGTCTATATCTTGAAAAATCGACTATTAATTAAAAAAAAATTGTAATTATTTATCGAAGCATGTCATAAAAGGAGAAATGTTGTGTCTTATATTCTATAGGGTTGTGAGATGAACCTGTAATTAGATTTCCTTAACGATCCTGGGTTGGACTCTGCATTTTGACATCTTCAGAGATTCAAGTTAAGGCTTAACGGAACACACTGAATAAGCAGACAGACTGGGGCGAGGATAGGCAGAGACAATTGCCACGAATCAAATTACATTAAAAGCTCGCAAATATATCGGAAGTGATTTAGTTTTATAATTGTATAGTTCCCCTGTCTGAAACTACTTTTCAAGGTCCAGGAATTTTTTTTTATAATTCTAGTTTTAATTTCCTTTAATAATAAGAATTTTGTAAAGACTAGTATTTAACTTGTCGCTTTTCAGTTTCCAAATATGAAACCAGTGAATATAAATCGTTGTGATAATTAGAAATCATATAAAAGCTTGAAATGTATATTTAATTTGTTTACTTTATTTACAGCTTGATTGCTCTGTTGTAATTTTTTTTTCTTTTCTAAACAAGACAGATTGAGTGACGGCACAGAACACTAATATAACTTCATATGTATATTTACTATATTGAATGTTAGTGAACCTCTGGTATTACCAAGTGTTTAAAAAATTATTGAAAAAAAAATGAATGATCTGCTGTATGAGTACCTGGTTTTACTTATTTCATGTATGTGATATATTGTGTGTGTGTGTGTGTGTGTGCGCGCGCGTGCATGCATGTGTGTAACTGTTTTTTTCATTAACTGCAGAGTAGTGCAAAAAAAAAAAATAATTAAAATAAATCAAGAAAAAATGTGCCAGGTAAAAATTGTAGATATTTAGGAAGAGTCGAATCTTCATATTAGGACGCAAGATATAAACGCATAGTAAAAGGAAAAATTATTGTTAATTTAAGGGAGAAAAGATTGAAGAAATAAAAAACCAAAGAAATTTAATTAATACTCACTTCTGAAAAAAAAGTGTTATTCATTTTGTATAAAAATAATCCTCATAGAAATGCCTTTCATAGGTAAAGTTCCTTGTAGCTAACAAATTTTTCTTTTCGGCCACCATGGATTTTTTGAGTATTTTATTTTATTATTTTTTTTTTTTTTAGATTTTTAAAATGTATTTTTATACTATTTTAAGTTTAGTTATGTTTTGACTGACACTAGATTTGTATTTAAATTGATATAGGCCAGAGTAATTTTTCCACAAACCTCTGAAATTGTAAATTCATCCTAATTTTTTTTTTTCCACTTCTCCAGGTTTATTCAATTATAAATGAACAAACTTTGTTTNCATAATATATAAATATATATAAAATTATTTAAAACAGCCCTGTGTGTATTAAACGGGTGATTTTTTATTTTCAAGTTTAACAAATATCAACGTTT